CTTTCACCGGTATATGGTGACGTCTCTATATGATTGAAAAATTCTCGAACGGGACGTAAAACAACATACAATCAATCTACCCAAGTTTCCATACTCATCCTACCAGTCTTGAATAAGGAGTTAACGAATAGTTGATTGCAGCATTTCTTCTGAAGAAAAATCTATCGAAATCAATATTGACTTTTACTTACAAAATAAAGAAAGGAAATATGCCCAATATCTAAAATTATAAATTTATTTTTAACTTTCATTATTTTTCGTCACAAAATGCACAAATTTAAATTCAATCATAAGTTTCAATTTCAAAAAAGGTCTTTTATTGAAATGCAGATAACATTCTGAGTTTTGGTTTTTTTCTTCAAGGATTTTCGCAAAGCTGTTCAAATGTAAAAATTTAACTTACTCTAGATTTTAATGTGAAACACGTATAATTGATTGCACTGTATGGTTTTCATGCCAATGTTTTGGACTTTATTCAACACAACTATCATAATCAGGCATCTGTAGAAATTGTCGTTTTACTTTAATCCAGGGCTAATTAGTGTTAATACCTCTAAAAGCATTAGTGTGTTATTTAATCCAGAAGTCTAAGGACGATGTTAATGAACTATTTATTAGTAAAGTTGATATCAACACTGAACTGTCCAAGTAATACTTGCATCCCAAAACACAAATATTCAGTCTTTTTCATTAAACCTTAAACGTCAGAAATCATGAAAATTGCTTATGAACATTATTTTACAGAAAGTCTTGGGAGTTGGTTTGGGGCTCTTCTAGCAGAATTTGCAGAAATGAAATTTCAAACCCACTGTTGATGTAATCAGCTTCCGAGCCACCCCCTGATGCTTATAAATGCAAGTAAATAAACGTCTATTGATGGCCCAAGTGAAACTGTGTCTGCAAACCATGCAATGATTTGTGTCTGCACAATCCTTATACAGAAATATTTTGTTCAAAAGTCCAGCATGTCTGTGTTAATGTAAAGTGAAAAATAACCTACAGTTATTTTAGATGGATTCTACTTTACATACACGTATTTTATGAAAGTCTAGAAGAAGTTTTGGCAATCTTAGTCTTGAAGAATTTTTTTCTAAAGAATTCACTTGTGAAATAAATCATACCAAAGTTAATTTCTGCCACATCTTTTAAAATGAATTTAATTTTTGAGATTTCATGAGTATATGACGCCGGTTGTGTATTTCATGATAAATATGCAGGCATGAAGCGTTATTGTTCATGGACCTCATGAATTCTCAAAAATAAATTTCATATCTTTTATTTACATCGTTTGTCTAATGACTTAACACAAATTACGTCTTTCAACGATCAATTTAGTTACAGTTTGCACTGTAGTTTTGACATCAAGTACGGTACTGTGACACTACAATAGAGATATCCTTCATCCATGGTAGTTCATGGGGAATAAACTGTTTTCTAATTTGCAAAGAATCTTAAAGAAAAAAGAAGAAATGTAAATATGTAAAAATGAATAACGTTTTAGTGAACATGGTGTTATGAACAACATTAACTCTGCAGACATATTCCATGCCGTCCGATAGAGCTTCGTTGTAAATATGTCTGCAAAGCTGATGTTGTTCATAACATTACGTTCTCTGAAACAATGTTCCTTACTACACGTGTTAATATTTGCATTCTGTGAGGTTGTCAAGAACGTCAGAGGAAATCCTGAACTGGATAAGGGCACGACTGCTTGTCTTCATTGAAAAAAAAACTGATGACAATGAAATATGTAGACTTGATTAATCCATCTTATTTCCAATAAATCATATGCGTACAATATACATGTACATGATATTTGCTTATTGATCCTCTTTATCTGCCTACACACCGCGTCGTCTTTAAATTCTCGTAATTTTTGTTTTGATACTGTTGTGACGTCAACGTTCAAAGTATTGAACATTTGCGAGAAATATAACATTATTTATTTTTTAATTCATATTAACTCAAGCATGTTTTTAAAACCATTTTAAAGTTGAAATCAATCTTGAAAAAGATACGGAAATTTCGCTGAACTAAACACACCTGCGCTGTGATAAGTTATCGTCCTTTGTTATTTGTGTAAAAATATACAGATACATGTAAATTAAAGGTATGGCAGCTCCATTTGATTTGGAGAAAGTGTTATTATATTTATTTTGCTTTGTCAGCTTACTCATTGCTTGAGTAAAGTGTAAAATGTGTACATAAAGACTTGAACACCGTCGCTACACTCATATTGCTCGGATGATTTGTAAAATACAATATTTTATTAATTGAGGGTTTACGCTTAAATGCAAATAATCATTTTTCAAAAACATAAAAAGAAATCCCTGCATCTGAAAACAGCGGTAGTGGTCTTTAAATCATGAAGCCAGCAGGGGAAACTATACTCCTCTCTCACTGCCTCTTAATTATTCAGTGCACTTTTAGTAGTATCTGGATTTGGTAAATATAATTTTCAGAAGACACCCATAATAATTTAATTAATTTTTTAAATGGTTTATTCCTGAGAACCAAGTTCTTTCATCAGTTTTGGAGAGAGAGAGAGAGAGAGAGAGAGAGTAATGGATGTTTCTTATTTTTTTCTATATTATTATTCCAAATACCTCAAAATTAATCAAATATTATTAAACAAGAGGCCCAAGGGCCTTAACGGTCACTTGAGTTCAATACAACAATTTAGAGGATCCATAAACTGATAAATGAAGCTTTGTTGCCCAAAAGCAAGGAAAATAGTATGATTAGGATCAACAAAATAATTGGTCTAGTATCTATCTGTCTCCATTTATCACTATTCCCATGCAGACTATTAACAAAATGTCTATTTTTTAACCCAATATTATTACTTCTCACATTGGCTGTCTTGGCCTTTGAAGAACATTTTAAAAAACATAATTTTTTTTGGTCTCATTTTTATTCATCTATTATTTCCAAGTCTACCTGATCATTAAAACTATGAAAGTACTTTTTGTATTATATTCTTGCATAATTCTCTTATTCTATTAACCTTTCAAATACATTATTTACAGTGATTAATTATCAAAGGGGAATGGCAAAGGGGAATAACTATGCTCAGCAGAATACAAATTAACAGAGCCCTAGCCAGGACCAGAACACTTGACTAAATGGTCCAGGTGTTCAAAATTCTGGTAAAAATACCCTTACATATTAAAACTTTTACTCTGTTTGCCTCCAATATGCCCAGAAGCATAGAAAATTTTCAAATAAATGCATTTTCACAGTATGACTAAGTAAATAAAGCCCCAACCCTACATCAGAACACCCGACCCTGGGGCCATGAACTCACAATTCTGGAAGAAGCAGCCTTGCTCATCATAACTATACACTTGTTTCTTTGCTTTATAACCAGTAGTAGAAAAAATATGTTGAAAGAAATTATACATTTTCACTATATAATCGATAGAGCTTCACCAGAACCCCTGACCCAGGGGCCATGAAATTCACATTTTTAGAAGAGGCAACCATGCTCATAATAACTATGCACTAAGTTAGTTTATTTAATACCCAGGAGCAGAGAAGAAGATTTTCTAAGAATTAATGCAATTTTACTATATAATCAATAAAGCCCCCCCCCCCACACCAGAACCCCTGACCCAGGGGCCATGAAATTCACAATTTCTGAAAAGGCAGCCATGTTCACCATAATTATGTTCTTAGTTTATTTAATACCCATGAGCAGAGAAGATTTTCAATGAATTAATGCATTTTCACTGTATGATCAATAGAGCTCCGCACTAACACAAGAACCCCTGACCCAGGGGCCATGAAATTCACAATTTTGGATGAGGCACTCTTCCTTATCATAACTTTATACTTAGATAGTTTGTTTAATACCCAGGAGCAGAGAAGATTTTCAAAGAATTAATGTATTTTCACTATATAATCAATAGAGCCCCGCCCTAACATCAGAATCCCTGACCCTGGGGCCATGAAATTCACATTTTTGGAAGAGGCACTTTTGCTCATCATAACTATGTACTTACTTAGTTTATTTAATAGCCAAGAACAGAGAAGAAGATTTCAAAGAATTAATGCATTTTCACTATAGAATCAATAGAGCTCCGCCCTTACACCAGAACCCCTGACCCAGGGGCCATGAAATTCACAATTTTGGCAAAGGCACTCTTCCTCATCATAACTATGTGCTTAGTTTATTTAATACCCAGGAGCAGAATAGATTATTTTTAAAGAAATAATGCACTTTACTATATGATCTTTATAGCCCCACCCTAGCACCAGAACCTCTGACCTGAATTTCACAATTTTGGTAGAGGGCTCCATGCTTATTACAAGCATGCCAACAGTTTGACTGCTTGATGTCCAGGAGTAAAGAAGAAGATTTTTAAAGATTGCATTAATGTTGGTTGTTTTAGCCCCACCCCTCAGGCCCCCGGGGGCAGGGACTATGAAATACATAATTTTTGTTCCCCTTCACCCATAGATGCTATATGATAAATTTGGTTGAAATAGGTTAAGCGGTTTCAGAGAAGAAGCTAAAAATGTTCAAATGTGAACACACGACGCACGACGACAGACAAAAACAGATAGTAATAGGTCACCTGAGTCACTCATGTGACCTAAAAATGAAAAATTGCAGGATTGTGCTGTTAAAGTGATTATAAGAGATTTTCAGTGTCAGACAAATTTTCATAAATCTTCGTGAATTATGTTCGTGAAAAAAATTGAATGCATTATTGATTGCAAATATCTTTTTTGTATCAAGATATCTCTTTTCAGATATTTAGCAAATGTTGTGTATCCCAGTCACCTTTTATGTATTAAATTTAAATTAATCTGTTTCTTTCCAGAAAATCAAAAATCATGCCTAACTTTATTTTAAGGTAAAGCAAAATTGATTTTTAAATCGTTTAATTTACATTTACATAAAAAAAAATATAATAATCATAATAATAGTCATAATAATAATAATGTTTTACAATTGTTAATAAAATTGTCAAAGTTTTAACTACAGCAAATAAAAATTCTCAAATATTATCCCATAATACATGTAAACAACAGATTTATTACCATATACAAATTGACTTTGTACATTTATTCCATTTTCAAAAGGAAATGTTTTTATTTAAAATAAATATTACTTGTACATTGCATCCCACTTTTTCCTTATTTATAATTAAACAGGGGGTACAATTAGTCGTAAACTTAAAAACTTAATTCAACACAGTTTCTAAACATACGATTCTTATAGTAAAGTATCAAAATATCATACTCAGATCAAAATGTCGTAATTCATCAAACAAATACTATACTAAACTGTAATTTTCTATTCTAAGTATGGTAGGTAAGATACTAATACATATTTGCATGTAGGACAGTTATTAACTTTTTTAAAAGTATTGTTCGACCTGTAGCATAGCAGGGAATATATATCAATTTGTGGCATATTACGCAAGATTATGATACATGTGTTACATTTAAAGTTTAATCTGAAGTTTAAATTTATCTATAACTATTGGTACCGTATATGATTTACACTATAACTATCGGAGATAGTTAATGAAAAGTTTAAACTTCAGATTTAACGCATGTATAAAGGCATTGTTACATCTCCAATATTTGTGAACGTTTAATATGTTAAACCTTTGCGAATATTTGAGTAATTTGACACTTCATCATTGTTTTCTTTTTCAGCAGCTATGGTGTCGATTGCTTCCAGAAGGACGTTCGTTATCGCTTTCTTCGCAGATACTTACTTTTTTATTCTTTTCCCAGTTTACATATCCAAGAATCTTTGAGATCTAAAATAATAAATGTATATAATTATCAAAGAGAACATGCAATCATCGAGTCACCCATGTTTGTAACAAACGAATATTTTGACATAAACGATTCTTACAAGTGGTTTCAAGGAACAAGGGTTCTTTTACAATCAGAACATTTTTTTTGTGGTTTGCAAATATGCTTTTTTTTAATTTTTCAGGGAATTTTTACCTTTTCTTCAATTGAGTCAAGCCGTCGATCAATGTGGTGGAATGTATCGTAAGAAGAATGCATATTTCCTATTGTTGATGTTAATTTTTCCAACCTTTAAATAATTGAAATTCTTTGTTTCATTTAAATTTTAATTGGCTTAATTTATGAACACTGATTATTTATCCCCTCGAAATATGGCTTAAAATATAAACACTTTAAAAAAAAGTGTACCAAAAATGTCCCTCTTCTCTAAAATAGAGTTACACTTAATTCATAATTCTATCATCAGCCTTCCCCATTTTACCTCTCGCTGATTTCAAAGACTTTCGTTTCCATTCTGTTTTCTCGGTTCCGTTTTAGTTTCTGGCTATAGGCATCTGCTATCACGTTCTCCCACTGCATTATTTCTCTATCCTGGGCCTCGCCTATATTGTTTAGGGGAAAAAATCTTTATTTTTTTATCGAGGCAATAAAATAGATGATTGTGGTATTCTTACTTCGTAAGAATAAGATTGGGTAGGACATAAATTTTAATAATGATGAAAAAAGGCCTTTGATTTCAATTCTAATCCACTCTGAAATTGATCCTAAAAAGTGTTGTTTTTTTTTAATAACATGTTTTAAGCCATTTTATCTAAAGACGTACAGCTGGCACGAGATGTACAAATTATTTTTTCCACAAATATCTATATTTTTTTCAAGGTAATGAAATGTCTATATATGAACCATGAAAAAATTCTTTATGGAATCTTTTCTATAGAAGAGCAGAAACTAAATTTGAACTTGAATTGAAGTAAGGACTATTAGATTCAATTATTACTAGTAATAAGATGATGAAAACGCTCACAAGATTTGTTCTTACATGAACTCCATATGACAATAAAGTGATATCTGACTTTCATTAAATGATAAATGAATTCGTGTTATTAAATGCCTTTGATTTATGCTCAATGTAAGTGAAACTTAAACGGGATTATATAAATTTTAAAATTAACATTTTTACAATTAAGTGGGAAGGGTATATTTGAGGAATGTAAAAGAATTGATTCTTAACTGTAAACTGTAGCTGTCAACTGCTTCTATTTTTTAAAATAGATGAGAAATATTTATAATTACAAAAAGAAAATGAAAGCAAGGTATATTGGACAGGAGATAAGTAATCCATGACAGTGATGTTGTGTTCTAAAGAACATTGTTGCTTACTGAGGTCTGGAGTGAGGTCCAAGCAAACCCCACAGCCTCTGTTCAGTACCCACTTTATCATTAGGAATATATAAATAGGAAGACTTAGAGGCGCCGGAAGGAACGGTTTATTGTAGAACTCGTATATGAGAGAGCATCTCATATAATTCCACAGTCGATCCGTATTCTCTTGAACCTTCTGGAAAGTATTGCTGAAAAATAAAGCATAAAATTATATATATATATATATATATATATATATATATATGTGTGTGTGTGTGTGTGTGTGTGTGTGTGTGTGTGTGTGTGTGTGTGGCATAAAATGAAATGTTAGATAAATGTAACATGAAATCTAGATTTTAAAAAATGTATGCAACATTTGTAAGTTTCAAGTGGATGTTGACATTGCATGTTGACATTTTTCTCATTCCACTCAAAGTATTCTATACATTGCATTGACGTTATGTAAATAAATACTTGTTCTTGCATTTGTCTACATGGAAGATCAGGGAAGAATTCCAATACATTCATTTGATTAAAATAATAAAACGAAAGAAACGATTTATGAATCCAAGTTAGGTTTTATTTTCTTTGTACTATTTTTGGCGACTTGATATTGTAAATGTTGTTACGTAGCTTAAGCCTAAAATAGCCGAAGGGAAAGTCGAGATAGGGAAAAACTATTAAAGTAGATACCAAAACTGTTATGAAAAGAATCTTCTTTGGTTTGTGGTTGATAACTATTTTTTTCCAACTATTAAGTGTTTAATTTTCCCTCTACAAAGGAGAAAACACGACAATCCTATTTAACGACATTAACTTGAAACTACTTTTAAGTTGGAGTATATCAGATGTTAATTGAAGCTTATGTTTCAGAGCTTTTTGATAAAATTGCCTCATGGTTGACTTGTCCTTTAACCGAGAAAAAATAGACTAGATAGAAATTTTAACATTATGTCTTTATTCTAATAAACTTTAAAAGCAAGTATAAACTACATGGTAATATTCACAAAGAAATTGCTGTCTTTTTGACAAGGGGTAATCTGAATGTTAAAACTGCTCCATGTGACTATTTTTATAGTTGACATAGATGAACATTGAGACTGTTCTTTACATTTGACATACCTGAACATCCTTTATATTTGACATACCTGAACATTATTAATATTCGACATACCTAAACATTCTTTATATTTGACATACCTGAACATCCTTTATATTTGACATACCTGAACATTATTAATATTCGACAGAACTAAACATTCTTTATATTTGACATACCTGAACATCCTTTATATTTGACATACCTGAACATTATTAATATTCGACATACCTAAACATTCTTTATATCTGACATACCTGAACATCCTTTATATTTGACATACCTGAACATTATTAATATTCGACATACCTAAACATTCTTTATATCTGACATACCTGAACATCCTTTATATTTGACATACCTGAACATTATTAATATTTGAAATACCTAAACATTCTCTATATTTTACGTACCTAAACATCGCAATCAAAATATTCAGAAGGAGGACATTGGCAAAGAGAACATAAAAAGCCATTAACAGGGTCGCCACCATTCTCTCCTCTGGGCATCGGTTTTTAGGACTGACTGCATATATTGTCACATTCTTTGTACATTCTTCAGCACCTGCAATTTTAAGAAACAATTTACAACGAAGCGATATGTTCTATTTGTTGCAGTTCAAATTGGAAGTTCATAAAAACAAGAAAAAAACATCAAATTCATGTTTCGACAAAATGTAGGAACAGTAAATAATTTTAATTCAGACACCTTTTCTCAAGGTAAATTATCCGACATTTCCGCCACCACCATCCCACAATTCCCCTCCTTTTCACTCCCTTTGGCAGATAGAGGAAACAAGTACATATGCTGTTTTATAATTACATCAATAAATTTCATATTACTTAAGTGTTGTTCTCTCCTTAAAAATTTGATACTTTTTCTATCAATAACATATTAATAAGTGAGCAATAACACTTCGTTAGCCTTGTATAACGACATCCATCTGACACAAGGAGATATGGAGATAACGAACAGTAATTAAACTATTGTCGTATGTAGTCTTCGTGTCAAATAAGAATTCTTACATTTTTTTGCTATAAGTACGGACATGATTATCATATACTTTTGCACCAAAAATATTAATCTTAATGAAAAGGGAGTGGGTCAGGTTCCTTCTACTTAATTAAAAATCGAGCATATTTGTGTAAATAGAGGTGTCAAAAAGGTATACAAGGTTATGATTCGGATACTACTTGGACAGATGGACACGCAAACAGGGAAGTTCGGAAGATGTATAAGTTCTAGAGTACAATTCAGGGTTAATATCCTCAGTATGTCATCGTGATCTCAGGGAAAGACAAAACTATTGATATAATTGTTTGGTATGACTGAATGTAAACCCCATCTTGAGGAATTAAACATCCTTGAATAGCTGAGAGGTGGTGTTGTATTTCTGTACAATATAATCAATTGCAATGCAAAAAGAAGTAAGGTAATTCTTCTAGATCTGGAAATTAGATATACGTTTAGAGTCATACACAATACACCTGTATTCCAAATCTATATTTTAATTTCAACAGGCTGCAGGACTAGATAAGATCTGAAAATGACATGATAACTGAGTTGTAACACAAACGGAAACGGAAATTCATATTGATCAGTTTAATTTTTTTCTCTAGCTGTGGAACTGGTAAAACATTTATTCGTCGGGTTTGGAAAGATCATGTTTTCTAGAGGAAATCATTAATTTGTTATGGCTTGTTTTATGTGATATTCGTGATTTGGTTTCGTCTACGAATTTCCAGTGCAACTATTATATGACGATATTGTCATAGAAACTAAGGAGAAGAATATAGTTTTACCCACAAAATAGTAAACCACTAAAACTGAATTTTATTTTGTAAACGTCAGAAAGTGAATCACACGAATTTACAGGTATCAGTAAATACAGATTAAACATACATGTTTACATTGGCAACTTAATTTACTTCCTAATGTCCTGTCAGTGTATGAGTATTTGTTGACAAAAGGTATCTATGTAAATGCTGTAGTATCAGAATATAAACTAAGATTATCTTTAAAGTGATACCCATCTTCTCAACCAAATTGAAAAATACATTGAAATGTCAGAGATAATCATTTCATAAATCTAATTAATAGCTGGTATGCTATGTAATTGATAACTATCTTGTAATGTAACTTGACAACCATCTAAAAACAACCGAATAATCATTTTAAAATAATTTATGTCTGCCACATAAAATGTAAATTTTTACCTTCTTAATATACAAGTAACAGATAAGTCAATGTAACATAAGTTCTTAAAATCTGTTTGATAACCCTGAATCTACCCCTAACTTTGTACTTGTCGAGGAAAAGCTCTCCGTAAAATGTCCAGTATTCCTTTTCTAAAAGTCCATCTGAGATTCCTCTGAATATACCCTTACCTTCGTACTCGTCGAGAAATAGCTCCCAATAATATGTCAAATGTCCCTTTCTGAGAATCTAATTACCCCTGTAAATACATACCCCTATCTTCATATTCGTCGAGCAACAGTTGTCCGTATAGGGTCCAATATTTTTTATTACCCCTGTATAAATGCCTACCTTCGTACTCATCAAGGAACAACTCTCCATATAATGTCCAGTATCCCTTTCTGAGAATCTGAGTAACCAAGGCGGAACTCATCACTGAGTTTGGAAACATGATGGCGTACGAAGTTATGGAGTACGATAAGACAAACACCATCAGAATGATCATAAAAAACACAAGGTCGGTCATCTGCCAAAATAGAGGAATGGAACATCTTTTATTGAAATGGGAAGTATAAAAAGATCTCGCCATTTCATTTTCTGCAAAAATCATATAAAATCTCTCATACTGCTCTTGACATTCGTAATATCAATTGAAAACAAAATGTTTTCGTGAAACACTGATGCCCCCGTATGGCAGCTCAACGCCAAAGTTAAAATTTTTCTAATGTAGGTCAGATTTCAAGGTCAAGGTCAAAAGTTCAAAAATGTTCATACCCGAAGAAAGGTCTTGTCACAAGTAATACACATAGGAAATATTATGGCTCAAAAACCAACCATTCAGAAAATACTAGTATTACCAAGGTTTAAGTTTTTAAAAAGTAGGTCATAGTCCATGGCCAATGTCAAGAGCTCAAAACTTATGGAACCAAAGGTAAGGTCTTATCACAAGGAATGCATACATGAAATATGAAAGCCCTAGCACCAACCGAACAAAAATTACAGGCAATGTACATATCAAATGAAGGTTAAACTCAAATGTCATAAGGTCAAAATTGCTGGTACCCAAAGACAGGTTTTGTCGCAAGAAATACACATGGGATACATGAAAGTCGTAGCAGCCACCGTTCAAAAGTTATGGCCAAGGTTATAGTTTTTCAAAAGTAGGCAAAAATCAAAGGTTAAGGCTGATATATAGGTAAAAAACGTTGATGTTAAAGAAAGGTCTGGACACATGATATATATATCATCTAGCTCCAATCGTTCAAAATTTATGGCCAAAGTTAAAGTTTGGTAAAAACAAGATGTTTTTGTGAAACAACGACGCCCCCGTATGGCAACTTTTAGCAAAGGTTAAAATTTCTCAAATGCAAATCAAATATTTTGGTACCCAAAGTAAGGTCTTGTCTCGAGGAATAAACCTGTGAAATATGAAAGACCTAGCAGCAACCATTGAATAGATATGAAAAAGGTTAAAGTTTTTTCAAAAGTATGTCAAACATCAAGGTCAAGGTCAAATGGTTAAAATTAATGGTGCCCAAGGAAAGGCCTTCTCCAAAAAAAATAAGCAATTGAAATATGAAAGCCGAAGCACTAATCGTTCAAAAGTTATGACCAAGGTTAAAGTTTTCCAAAAGTAGGTCAAAATCCAAGGTCAGGGTCAAAGGGTCAAAGTTGTTGGTATCCAAAGAAAGGTCTTGTCACAAGGATTACATATGTGAAGTATGAAAGCCCTAGCACCAACCGTTCAAAAGTAATGGCCAAGGTTAAAATTTGCCAAAAGTAGGTCAAACTTCTAGGTCAAGGTCAGATGTAAAGATTGTGAGAAATCTGTTAGCTCATAAACGCTACTTTTGAATGAGATGTACTAACGAAAGTCAGCAAAAAGGAACCCCACGAAATTAATGTCTCAACAGTATCTGACGTCTTATGTGCATTGTTTTTGAGTCAATGTTAGAAACAGAATTAACTTTATATATATATATATATATATATATATATATATATATATATATATATATATATATATATATATATATATATATATATATATATATATAAGTGCACAAGGTATTTCTATGCATAAACGGCTTTGGTGAACATTTCCATTTGTTCAAATGTAAGAAACCCTCAAACCCTCCCATCCCCACTCCAACCCATAAGAAAAAGAGCTACCATTCTTCTTATCATGATGATTTTTGGCCCAAGTTCCTTATGGACTGTAAATATATGGAGAATCCTAAAGAAAAAGGACATAAGACAGAAGCTGTAGGCAACACGTGCTTCAGTGATAGTCCAAGGACAAAATCGCAGAATAGCCGCCAGCATGAAAAGGACAATGGTCAAAACGTCCACTTTGTTCCAACTGTCACTCCAGTACTCTTTCTTCTTCTTCAGAAACTTCTGCCAAAGTGCCACTCTGGTAAATTCTTCATTTTGTTTGGTTTGCGATGTTGAACAAAACTTTCAAAAGTAAAAGCACAATCAAAAAAGCACATTCACAGAATATATAAAATTAATAATTATAATGTTGCTCTTGAAAAATATAGATCAGAAAGGCCACCCTACAGCTAGGAACAGATACTCCTGACAATTTATGTTCAATAGTTTTAATGAGTAGCTTAATATTATATGTTTTTGGCTTCAAATCAAAATACTTGAGCAACATATTTTATCTAAAGCTTCTAAATTGATACAATATTTCCAACCGTTTGACAGTACTTTGTGAAAATTAAACATTCGAACTATGCTAATGGACAAATAATAAAAAATAAGTTATGTTTTAATTGCTTTTTAACTTGTATCATATACCAAATCCTATTGATACAGTATGAATATCAGCGTAAACTGTAACGATCATAAAATTTGCGAAATGCTGACTTTAATCGAGGTTGTTGAAATCCCTGTAACATCAACTTATCTGTCAGAAGCCTTCCTCGGTTTAAATTCTGATCGTACTCAGAGCATGCTCCTGAGTATCGAGTAAGTTGAAAGTCATACACACCAAATGCAGGTGACAGCGGAATATAACTACATAAATAAGGAAAGTTGACGATGGAAAAGCTGTAGTCATCTTGTTTGTCATAGAATTTAGTTGTTAGTTGGCCAATATCGTCTATAGTCATTAAAACATCCAAATATGAAACAGATGTGGCAAACTTTGTGGTGTCTTGTTTCACTGGGATATATTGAATCGACATATGAATGGAAGGACTATTGTTCATTGATAAAACGTCGTCCAGATATCTTAATGTCAAGTTATATTGATTACCGATACATTATTACAAAAAAAACATGAAGTTAATATATATAGAAGAAATCATAAGAGAAATCATAGGAAAAAATATCGGCACGTCCCGCTGTATCGGATCATTGTCCCACCCCTTATTAATTTTTATTTTTATTACTCTTGGTTGTCGTTCTCGATGAATTTTAAGGATAAACAACAAACGAACTCTTTTTCAGAAATCAGCTAATAGACTTGTGTTCATATAGATACATATTATTTAAATAATGTTTGCCAGAGTAAGTGTGGGAATTTTGCAAGACTTTTAATAATGCAATGAAATGTGTGCAAAAACTTGTTTAGATTTATATGGAAAGTCGCATATTTGAACACTTAAAACCTACGATTAGGTCATTTCTATTCAAAATCTATCAAAAAATAAATACATGTACATGTATTAATACAAACATCAACTATTTTAGTCTGCTTTATTTTCCCCTAAATTAGAAATGTTTTATTGATGTTTTGAGAAAAAATATTTAATATTATATACATATTTGGTTTACATATGATAATGATTACTTATAATGGAAATGTAGTTCATGAACTGAAAAGCATTTTATGAAATTTTAAAATGAGATGTTGTTGATTACCATAATCTGCTGTACAAATTTAAGGCCATTATGGGAAAAATCATAATTCATCTGTTGCTATGAAAGCAATGGTCAGTGAAAAAATATCTTGATTTTAAGGGCAAAATGACAAATATCGTGACTCTAAGTCAAACGACAAGCATATTCACTACCCAGTTTCTTTAAGATTTTGAAATATATTATAAATGAACATTTTACAAAAATCATTAAAACAGACAAATACGGAGTGTTCTATTTCAAATTGTCTTACCTGACGCATCTCTTCAATCATAAGGGTAATTACCCAAATGAATATAATGAGTTCATATTTGCCCATGTCTTCATCAAACTCTACCAGCAGCATGTAACTGAAAATGGCCAGGAAAACTATATATGCTATCTACAACAAAAGGAGGAATGGGGCCAATCTTAGAGACATCTTGTAGATTTCCATCTATAGATTGATTGTAAGGCTTAGCTAATTTTAAATTTCAATCTTTATTTTTAAGATGTGCTAAGATGATGCAAGATTTTCAAAACACAGGAGAAGATTTAACATTTGAATTTAGATTTTTTAAAAAAAATTTTAAATTTGATTTTTAAGCTAAAATACAGTTTACAATTTAAACTTAATCGTGTAGTTTTAAAATACAGTAAAACTCGGTTGTAAGAAAGTCACTGGTGCCTCGAATTTTCTTTCCCTATAACCGAGATTCTGTATATCCGTGTAAGGAACACAGTGGACAGTTTTCTACTTAAAAAATTCCTTATAACCAAAATTCCTAGAAGCGACTTCTTTATAACCGAGTTTGACTGTACTTGCCACACTGTGCGCGAAGATCATCACAGGTGCCGTATATATGCTCTGGATTCTGTGGAGATGCCATAGGATTCCTTGTAGCTTCTTCTTCGAATACCCTTCCAATCTGGTTAAAAAAAATTAAACATCAATCATTATATTTATAAATCTTTAGTCAAATGATTAAAAACGCCGTTTTCTAAATAGTGTCGGAAATATATACTCTGTACTCTTTCTTGGCAACGTTTCCTTTGCACAGTCAGACACAGATCCTGCGTTTCCATCGGAGATTGTTCTTTTCTACAAACAAAAATGATAAATAATTAACATTTATTGAAATTTCAAATGATGCAAAGACAAGTATAAAAATACATGTACATACTTTAATACTTACAATGTTGAACCGTCGTTCCAACGTTCCATGTTTTGCTGGCATAAACACATCTAATTCCGAATTGCAACTTTGCGTAGATTCGTCTTTCACATAATAATATATGTCTTTAACTTTCAGAAGAAATATTCCCAGGACTAGGGGCGAAATGAGGAGCTGCAATTATTGTTTTATTACGTCTAACATTACAGAGTTCTCTAGAAACAAAGAAGATGGTGAACAAGGCAAGCAAAATACCTATTGTACCACATATAAGAAAGTGAAAAATTAAAAAAATCTCAATTATGACAAAATTTACTTTGATATTTCATTTAACATTAAAGTATACTTTATGTTAAATCTCCAAAATTCGCAACAATCTCAAAAAGATTGAAATCATTTGTTTATATAATAGCATACATACATGTACACGAAGGGAAAATTGATCATCGGGATTTTTATTGCTTGGATTCAAACCCCAAGAACACTACTTATTTAATTCATAGAATTATTTTTGCCAAAAGAATTTTCTGCAGAAAAGTTTTGTTTGTCATAATCTTATACCTTTCAATGATAAGAACTTTACTCTAAACATCAAATTCACAAATTACTTTATACATTTGAAGCTATAGGCACTTTGCACGCCTTGTTCGCCCATTTCCTTTTCTCCTCAATTAGACGGTATTGAGAGGAATATCTGATATTAAATTAAACGTTAATTATATAAGAAAACTACTCTCAAAGAGAATGAAAACTTGTGTCGGTTTATCGCGTACTTCCCTCAGTCATGTTGGAAACATTCTGAGACTATGTGACTCCTCTTCAAAGTAGGTTAATTTTAATGAAACGCAGGTTGCGTTTATAGCATTGTTGTACATTAATTCATAAAAACGAATACGACAGTATCTTTTAGAAGGAAAATACAAGTAGAATTTCCATAAAGACACCAAAGTTTCAAGCTTTTATTCCACTATATTTAGTTTGAAAATCAAAGATAGTAGTTTTACCATCTTTCATCAGGATTAAAACAATGTTAAAGAGAAAGTACAGGTCAGAAATAGTCAAATTTCCCGCTAGATTTCGCACAATTTTCAAGATTCTTTTCTTGATTCAAGTACCATCTTTCCTTAAAGCTAGGGACCCAACTAAAACAAAACGCATAATTGGCATTTTAGATAACCTCCCAACGTTCTATCATTTATTCAAAATGAAAAGCTTTCATTCTTTCATTTTCTTCTTCTTTTTTTTAAATCAGTTTTTTTTTCTCGTTTTTGCAAAACTGCAAGAGAACATAAAAAATACTGAATTATATCACCATACCCTCCAAGTCCCATTTTCTGGGCTCAGTTGTCCCATCCATACATTCCTAAAGAAGTCTTGGCAAGCTGGATGGGATATGAATTGTTTGTTGTCGGATTTCACAGCAATTTTCAAGCAGTTTGCCCCATCAAATTGTTCATGTCGTCGAATCAATAAAAAGTTCGTCTTTTTCTCGTCCGCTTCGAAACATTCATTTAAAACGCCCATCGCTAGATCTCCAAATTCCCTTTAAGTTTGGAAAAAAATAATATGATTTGAATCTGCCCGATGAAATATTGGATATTTCATCTTGCTTAAATAAATCTATAATTATAAATCCCTTAAAAGCTTTCGATTCTACGGTGATAGATGAACACTATGATGTTATTTACAGTTCTCATTTGCTACTGTTACCGATCTGCTTAATTTCTGCATTATTCTTTAATAATGTGGAGACTATTATATTCAATACTTTATTTGCAATAACCCCTTGAAAAGAACATGAAAAAATGGGGGGAAAGTAGAGCATATTTTCTGAAAATTCCAAAATAATTAAGAAAATTCTTATACATAGCATTAAAGAAGTATTGCATTAAGGGTCGATAAAACATAGTTAACTTAGTTCGTTATGTATTCTGATAACAAAAATGTCCTCATTATGTCTTCCTGCCAAAGTCAGTCTATAACGAGCCAAACTCTTTGTACTCAGAATGTCTCCAATGTAATCATCTTGCAGCAATTTTGTCTCCTTTTCAGAAATAAATTTAATTGTCTGGCACAAGTACATGTAATTGTATGACATTTTGAATAAGAAATCTCCTTTTTATATGCAATGACTTCACAGTCGAACCAAGATGTCATAGATAACAAAAGTCTTTTCTTAGGCTTAATAGTAAATTTTTGTATTTCTTTTCTAGAATTTATGAAATAATGATTTTTCATTGTGAAGTTTGTATTAACACCACCAGTTTACACCAATGGCAGAATAAAACCAGAGACTGCGTCCGCTGTGGTTTCCCTGTCTTGTGGTTATAATTATTTTACGATTCATATCATTTAATTATGTTCCCCAAACGAAGTTTGGAAACATATTGCTTTTACTTTCTTTTTTCACATTTCTTCTCCAATAATTTTTTGTCCGCGAGTATTCTCTTAAACTACTCATCCGATTGAAATGAAACCTTTTTGGGTGAACAGGCATCTTGTGTAGATGCGAGGAACGACAGTCTTTTTTGCGCACATGCATGTGCGTTAAGTGAAATGATTGGTATAATTGAGACAGCTTTTACTTTCCTATTTTTGACGATGTACTATGAACCTCGATATTCCAAGAAATATCAGTGATGCAGCGAATTAACAAGAAAGCACGCGGAGGCACTTGCTTTTCACTCTTGATTGGTTGACACAAAATCTCAGTAACTTCCTTTTTTAATATATTGAAATTTTAAAGTATAGGCATATTTAATGATATTTGACATATATGATATATATACGAAAATTCTTGAAAACACGTTCTTGTATCTGTGCCCCAATTTGATTGACCGAAATTTAAAATGGCATAACTTTATTAGTTTTGAATCAGGAAGAAAGTTACAACGAAGATAGGTTAAGTGCGTCCTTATAATTACAATATGCTACTATCAAAACGAAAACAAAGACATGCATGCACGTGTGCTGAATTCTAATTGGCTAATACTTAAATGGTTATATATCTCTCATTTTTCAATGAATTTCTTTGATATTTAAAACATAGGTGTATATTGTGAGAACCTATGAGAAAATATATCTGAAAAATCTAGGAAACATTTGCAAACACAAGCATTGAAATTTGATTGGCTAATTGGCTAATTCCTGTATATCAATTTCCGATAAAATACTCTGGAATATAAAGTGTAAATCTTATATTGCCTAATCTAACGAATCTTGAGGGGGAATAGGGCACCATAAGGGAGTGGGGAAGCCATTTGGGGAACATAAGTATCGGCTCTCGTTAGAATTATCACTAGTTTCACGTACAAGTATATTTTTATTCCGTTCCGAATTTGAGTCACATCCCTATGTCACATTTATCTATGGATGTCATTATTTTGGTTACATCAACAATTAATCAAAAGTTGTTCGGGATATTTGAAAACAAAAACAAAATAAAGAAATTGTAAGTCATACTCGATGTGTTCAAAAAGTGCATTTCTCTTAGAACATGCTTTTGTATACACGTATTCATAAACTTATAAAATTCAATTAGAAAATTAAACAATTTTTGTATCACAGTTGCATTAGTTTGGTAATTTGGTAAGTCTTTGTATTTATTAAATGATATATTTATAAGATGACCATTATTGTGATAAATGATGCATATAAATCAAGCATATAAATACTCAGCGTTCCGGATCAGGCTGTTACGTAACTCAGTGTCGTCAGTCTTGGTTGCTATGGCATTCAGAATTCCAAACGCTAACAGTGCATAAGCCGTGGCGTCCTATGACAGAATAAGATCAACATAATAATAACCCGGCACATGAATCACGTTACAGAAACCATTCATTACAGGACTCAATGTAAAGAATATCAAGTATCGAAAACAAGATAGCCTTTACGTAAAAATACCTTCATTTTATCTTCATCTCTATGCAGACAGCAGAACAATTAAACTAGCAAAACAACCAATTTAATACAAACAGTAGCGTTTGTGGATGCGAGAGTACATGTATCTTTGTAATATAAAGGAATATAAGCGCACATTTCTAGAATTCTGCTATTCTTTCATATATGTTGTAATCAAAGGTAGTTAATAAGTATTCAAAAGTTGGAACACTTGATCCATTTATGAATGGAACAAGTTTTGCAATCCCCAGCTATTGTTAAGTTTGTCATATTGTCATACTGGAATAAATAAGCTAAGTATGAATGAAATTTGATTGATTGATTGTATGTTGTTTTGCGTCCCATTCGAGAATGTTTCCATCATATGGAGAAATCATCATACAACAGTGAAGGGCTTTAAATTTAGATCTTAACTCCGCACTCAGGGCTATTGAGCAGTACAAACGCCTGTCGTGACCCGGGGCTTCGGTTTTTAAGGTCTCATCCGAAAGTCACGGAACTTTCACTTCAAAGTGCCGAGCGCTTGGCGAAGGAACAGCTGCTACCTATTTTTATCAGATTATTTTAGATCAGTTGCGGCCGGAGTTTGAACTCACGACCTTCCGAAATTTGGAATTTGAATTCGGAATGAAATTTGAAGATAACGAACAGAGATCAAGCTCAAAAGTTCATTTAAACACAGGTATTGTAGACAGGATCCAACCCCGAATATACATACCGGGTCCAAGGATATTTTTTTTTATTTGTCTTCCTTCATAAATTATCCTTCTTACACACATTTACAAAGTATTCCATATGGAAAATCCAAAAAATAACATAGAATAAACGTTTATTTAAAAAAGATTGTTACAGTTAGTTTTAAATTCTATGAATTCTAAAACTTTAATGTAACACATACGCACGGAACGCAAAATCGTACGGTTTAATGCTTGCACAAGTTTTTTATTTCTTGTTTAGATATTCAGCTGTATGATCGTGACAACAGATCACAAAAACGTAAATTGTAAATCCAATAATAGCAGTAACTAGTGTTACAATTTCTTTTCATATAAATATATTTCATAAAAATTAGATTTGCAATATTTTGCATGAGTGACTCTGTAAATATGAAACTTTTACAAAACGCAGTCTATCTTTCTCATGAATTAACACTTTTTTTTCAATCTAAATTTACTCTTAATTGATAAAGATCAAATTTAGGTGGTGCAATGTTTACTCCACATCGATTTCTAGAGAAAAAAAAGTGACAATGACATTATTTGCTTTTTTATTTTATATTTGTTTTGGACTCGGGAATATCTCTCTTCTGTTCAATTACATTATTCTGCTACGTTTAGTTTGACAGTAAAAGAAAACATTAACTATTGTTATACCTTTAAAAATTAGTTCCTATATAAATCTATATTTAAAGAAGTCTAAAACTACTAATTTTTTACTTAGCGGTCATAAAATAATCGATGTTTGACCGCAGAGTGAGATATTGGACCTGTGGACGAGATATTGGACCGCTTACGTCACACTGTGGGCGGGATTAACTAAATCTTATTTGCATTCTTTGGTAGGGAAGCCAGTGGCAAAAAAAACATGTATTTCAAAAATTAAATAAATAAATAAAAGGTATAACAAAACATTTATTGACTGTGTTCTCGGGCAAATGCGTTTTCTCGACCCCTCGAACCAAACTGTTTGCCTTCAGCCTAACGGCCTCAGGCAAACAGTTTGGTCCGACAAAACGCATGTTGCCCTCGAACCCAGTCAATAAATGTATAATATTAACTAATACTGTAACTTATACGTTAACAATAGTTCAATGGAAAAGAATTTTTGTGATCTTCATGTACCCCGGTCGATCACAGTTGACACCATCCGCATATCCAGAAAATGTAAGAATTCGCATGATCGACAACTTCTTGTAATGTTTTTTTTTAAATTTCAAGTAATGCATAAAGAGTTTTTTTTCCGTATCATTAAATTTTAATAAATGGTATTTTCTTAGTGTGCGCAAGAATTTTGTTTCCTTCTGAAAAGGATGTACACATTTTGCTCATTATGTTATTACACTCACTTATATCGTCCTACATATTAACGCGATAACATTTATTGAGTCAAAACGACCAAAACGCTTAGGTAATGTACTTTAATATTCATTTGTTGACAGAGAAAGAGGATAACGCCAAGTTCAATACCACAGATCAACGATCACCAAGTATCATATAGTATAATATTTCTCTTGATATAATCCCTTTTTCTAATCAAGAGCCACAAAGTAATCAGCAATTTCCTTCTTTACCTATGTAATTGTCTAAAAAAAAAAATACTGCGTCTTAATGCCTGCTTTTCAATTGTAAATCAGACATAGTTTTTTTTCTGTTAGGTGGCTTGTTATTAGGTGTTTCTATAACTGACCGTTTTACCTTTTATGCCAAGTACATATACTTACCTTTCCTTGTCTCCAGAACAACTTCGCCATATCCTGACGATTCATAAGAACTGACCACAAAAAGAGATCCTCGAACGGGAATTTGGATTCTTTTTTTCTATTACTTCCTATAGAAATATTATAACATGTTTAACAAAATGTAGAAACACTTCTTTGCAAGAAAGAAGAACCACTTGAACACTCGAAACATAATGAGAAAAGTTTTGATGGCGATAAGAAAATTAATGTACATGGATTTTAAACGTATATATTTTCTTTAGTTAGCTTTGTTTCAGCCCACTTCCAGCTCCAGTTCTTTATATTAATGTTAGTTTCAGCCCCATGGTTGCTTTTTTCTTCGACAAACAACCCTGAACTGTGTTTATGCCATACTCTTGTCATTGCATTAGCTACAATTTGTGAAGTCTGGTGTCTCGAATATAGCTTTTTCACAGATAGTTCATGCTTATCTTCCTCTTATCTAAACAAATGATCTTTTACTCAAACCCATTGTTCTGAACCAACTTTCGCTGACACACAAACTTTTACGTTTTGTCAGTTAATAGAGCTTATGATGATTTTAATATTCACTAACTAAGAAAAAATATGATCTGATTTACAATGTTAGAGTCTAGACAAGAATGAGATACATTCCATCTGTTGACCCAATGTTATACGTATTTTTCTGTACAATTGGTGAAACCTATCAACATAGCTAAATTTGCGGAAAAAAAAAAGGTTTTTAGTTAGAGGTTTCAATCATATCTTTCAGAAGGATTCGTTCATCAAGATTTTAAAAAGGAGGATGGGAAAAAAGCCAATTATAAGCAAAGGATAAAAAAAAAGGAGGATGAGGAAATAAGCCAATTACAAGTCAACCTCTTAACCAAAACGTGACTTACCCAGTGGTTGTTGGTTAGCCGGACGACTTGCATAAGGTTCTACGTTAACGTCTGTCAACATTTTTATAAGTCTTTTGATGTCTTTTAATGTTATTGCCGTATTACCATTCTAGAAAGATATATCAGCATTAAGGCAAAAAATCTATGTTGATTTCCTTCACTTAGTAAACATCAATCATAGCTGTAAATAGGTGTTTTATATTCTAGCACAATTTTTCAATTCCAATGTTCATTGTATTTTTTTTTCAAAAAAAAAATGACAAAAGAGTAAAATTCTTTCTTTTCATTTTTATTCATATCTTTGGAATTGAGTTCATTCGTTGGGGAGGGGGGGGGGGGGCTACTAACTAGCATAGTTTGTGTGTGTCTTTCAAAAACATGATGAGTTTGTGAAACACTGATGCCCTCGTATGGCAACTTATAGCGAAGGTTAAACTTTCTCATATGCAAAACAAAACATTGGTACTTAAAGTAAGGTCTTGTCTCGAGGAATACACCTGTGAAATAAGAAAGCCCTAGCAGCAACCATTAAAAAGACATGGAAAAGTTTTTCAAAAGTAAGTCAAACATGAAGGTCAAGGTCAAATGGTCAAAATTAATGGTGCCCAAGGAAAGGCCTTCTCACAAAATATACACATGTGAAATATTAAAGCCCTAGCACCTACCTTTCAAAAGTTATGGCTAAGGTTAAAGTTTTTTAAAAGCAGGTCAAACTCCAAGGTCATGGTCAAAGGGTCTAAGTTGTTGGTATACAAAGTTAGGTTTTGTAACAAGCATTACATATACGAAGTAGGAAAGTCCTAGCACCAACTGTTCAAAAGTTAAGGCCAAGGTTAAAGTTTTCCAAAAGAAAGTCAAACTCCAAGGTCAAGGTCAAAGGGTCAAAGTTGTTGGTATTCAAAGAAAGGTCTTTTTACAAGGATTACACTTATGAAGTAGGAAAGCCCTAGCACGAACCGTTCAAAAGTTATGGTCAAGCTAGGTTAAAGTTGGGTAAAATTTTGCAAAACTAGGTCAAACTCCAAGGTCAAAAGGTCAAATATGATGGTACCCAAAAAAAAGGCCTTGTCACAAGGAATACACATGTGAAAAGTCATAGCTCCAACCAGTCAAACGTTATGGGTTAGGTTAGGGTTTATGCAGACAAACAGACAGACATACGGACGGACAGGGCAAAACCTATATATCCCCGAACCTTCAATTACGGGGGCATAAAAAAATCCTTACTTACGTTATGATGCTTTCGTTTCACTCTGTAGAGGAGTTCCCTAAGAAGAGAGTGATCCGGTGTCTAAACCATAAAACGAAATCTTACTCAGCATTTTTAAGACAGTTTGATAATATAACACATTTTGTTTAGAACTTATCTGGAAATGGATTAACACCTAATAACACATCAATATTGAGTTTCAAGACATAACTGGAAATATAAAAAAAAATACAAAGTAAACCCTTCTGGACAACCAGATAACAACATTAACCCAACCACAAGGAAACAAATACACAGTCAAGACAAACTCCTAAAACGGAGCCTTTGACACAGTCATGCATTGCGGTAAATTCTGGTTCAGTTGTATACAAAGAATCAAGCTTATTTAGTTCCCTTGACGTCGTTTTCTCGAAATTTTCGGTTATTTTATGGCTTTATTTAGCACAGTGTGACTTTATTTGTTACGAAAGGCTTTTCTGTTTCTGAGCTCTTTCTTTTTCACCTTTTCTTTGGTGTGATGAAATGCTGAATTTTAATGGTTAGAAAAACATTCCTAAACCTGGAAAACGGGCGGTAACTCTTATACGTTTATACTTACTGTATTGTACAGTTTGAGCAGTCTCTCCTGGGTGACGAAGTCTTTGAATGATATTCCATTGTCCAATAACAAATCTACAAAGTCTACACGATCTTGCTTGATAGCAGAGAACAAAATTTCATGCAGACTTCCAGGCTGAAAATAAAGGAAGGTACCAACCAAGGATGGAAAAAACATGATTTGATATTGAAGCGATATCGTCGATATCCTCAATTTCGACATGATAAGGAAAACTTCATTTAGTGATAGCATGTTCAAAGGTCACAGTATTGGGGGGGGGGGGATAATCCATTGAACAATCATGATTCGATATCGATATGATATCGTAGCAGAAAGGAAAACTTCGCAAACAGAAAATATTCTAATATACAGATAAGTATAAAGAAATAATGTAGCGAACTATAAAAAGTAATCTGTTTGTATCGTAACTACAACGTGTCTTGGACATAAGAGGAAGAAAATGAAAGATGATGTTCCTTCTGGGTGCCCAATGAAATCGAGTACAGAAAGAGATATGTCCTTAGTTGAGAAATTTATATAATGAAAAGATCGCCAAATCAAAGTTAGGGAAATAGTGAAAACCTAAACTACGAAATAATTCTTAATACCCAAAAATTTCAGTGACAGATTAAATATGATGAAGAGAAAGCGTTCATACTTGATCCATTGAATTCTCACCGCACCTAAGATAGAAGAGCCGGGCTGTGATGGACACCATTCTAACACTGCCAAAAGAAGTCCTAATCCACCCATCTTATTGTCAATATTTGGCAATTTGTGATATCTGAGCTAGTCATGTTATTAAAAATATCTTGGAAAGAAATATGTGACCCGGGAAAATCTTTGGGCTGCTGTGAGAACGTCACGTGACCACATGTCTCACTTGTTTCTCACATGAGCTGAGGGGTGGCAGATGTGCATCAAAACCGGAGGGGCCTAATTTAAAAAGAATGAGCACTTAAATCAATTTGAATCTTTTTATGAAAGTTTCAACAAGTCCGCGAACTTTTTGATCACCCCTCGTATAATACATTGAAAGTTCGTTAAGAATTTAAATTTTGATCAGTGTGAACCTCAAGGGTGTTTTCTACTTAATCTAGTAATTTTCAGTTTTTCCTAATAATTGAAGCTTATACTTCGCTAATTATTACGTTTATGAAAACAAAAATTAGATTGTTAGATTCCCTGGTGTCTGAGCATCCCTCCGTTACACTTTACCACGCCTCAACACAATTTGCATATGTTTTAAATTCTCTTTCTCTGTATATTCGAAGTTAAATGAAGATACACTTAGGAATGAATAAAAACAATAATTAGAAATTTTCAATCCCAAAAATACCCTAAATCTATTCCTATAAAAAGTTGAGATAGCGGATTGAGTGAGGTTCATCAAAAGTTCAAAATATTGTGGGTTTTTTTTTTTGGGGGGGGGGGGGGTCTCTTTGTAAGTTTCAATCCATAAAAGAATTGGAAATAAACTTTACAGGCCAGATTTTATCCTCCGTGAATATTTCACTCTTTGCGATGTCAATTCTGTTCCATGCCAAAGCCAGTTTGAGCTGATCGAACACTTGGTCCTTGTTTGCTGAAATAAAAAAGAAACTGCATTGAGTGCAAGGGGACTGACAACCCTTTATAACAGTTCTTTCTCCCTTAAGTATTTTTTTTTTATTTGTCACCTTAATTGACACATGCTTCAAGGTAATGCTGTGTCTGCTTATCTGAAACTTTTTTCATCGGTATAATTTAGACCACAAAAATAATAAATTTAAAGACTTTTCCATTTCTATACAGTATTTTCCTTTTTTATCCTCAAATCAGAATTCCTAAGCTTTCAATTGACTTAACATACATATCAATTTCGACATAGTATAATACTAGTATTGCTTTTTGGTGCTGGATTTTTTTCAGTACAGGATGACTACACTTAACGCAAGGTTTTGGGGTCTTTATCGGTCGTAAGCTTTCAATTGACTTAACAAAAATTGTCAATTTCGACATATTATATTACTAGTATTATTTTGGTGCTGGATTTATTCAATAAAGGATGACTGCACTGAACGCCAGGTTTTGGGTCTTTTTCGGTTGCTTCTGTTGCTTTTATATCTTAACCTTATTTCACCTTTGTATATTAATTTATTTATGAAAGAATCCTGTCAATCTGGAACAAAATTTAAATGTTAAAATAATTCTAGACTGTGATACAATAAAATTATTTTATGTTTTCTGTCCCTACTGAATTCAAAATAGAGAGAATTTACACTTACCCACCCTTGATTGAACATAAGGTATGCATGAGAAGTGGAGTTAACATTGTAAAAATCGGTATAAAATTAGACTAGATAAATAACAATGACATGTGTGAAATAAAAAGTGATCATATTTCCCCATCTCCCTCTCAATTCTACAGTGTATGTGGCACAAGTACAGTACTAATAAAGGTTTCAAAACGAAATTAACAATATATGAGCACTTCCATGTAATTAAACAAGATTTTAAATCAATACCTGACGATTTAACGTGTTCGAACAAAATGTCATAGTTAGCACAAAACATACTACGTTACAAGTCACGTGACGGAATTTAGTATTCACAAAGTTACCTAAGGTAAGAAATCACGTGGTGAATGATAATATTCAACATTTCACAACCCTTGGTTAGAAAAGGGAAAACGAATGTAGGAGCAGCAGTTTGTTCTCTTTTTAACCATGAGCGCATGTTTGTCTATTAATCTCCTTTTGACACATCATTATTTACTCAAATAAACATAGAATAATAGACAAACATGCTCTGACTATGTATGAAGTCAGTAAAAAAAAAAGTGGGCGTCTTCATTATCGTACGAAGATTCAAGAAATAATAATGACCTCTGCCTTTGAAAACAGACTCTTACTTCGTAAATACACACTTTTGTTCAATGTAATTACATAAAAATGTAGATTGGATGTTGACCATTACTGCAATTAAAAGAAAAATGCTTGTTTTGAAAGTTTATTTTGTCGCAGATTTCGCATGTTCTTAAGTACAGTCATCCTTTAAATATTTTTAGTGTTACACACCTTTCAACAGACTTTTCAGAATTGCCACATCTATTCCAAGTGTGCTGTGGTAGTCGAAAACGGTGACAAGTTCCCGCTGCACAACGCACTCACACAGAATTGTATAGTACTCCTCAATTTTGTCTTGTCCCAGTGTTTCGCCAATGGTCTTCCTAAGCTTGTTCGGAATAGAATTGTCTGTCACTGAGCGCGACCTAATAATAAACATTAATTAAAATTTCTTTCTGCTAAAATAATTTCTTTAAAAAAAAAATGAGCTACTTATCAAATTTATCATCATAATTATTTTTATCAGCAAAATTTATTTAATCATAATTTGCGAAGAAAAAATATTCATAAGTTATATAATGTGAGAAAAAATTGCAAGTGTTAATCAATTCAATTTGCTATCGAATAAAATATACATACAACCATTAAATATTCGTTTCAAAAGATTACAATGCCTACGTAATTACAATAACTTAATATCTTTAGACGTGATTAATTATGGATTACCTTGTTCTATTGCTGCCGTTGCTTTTTATCGTTATGCATTCTACCTTCGCACTCTCGAAAATATCAGCCAAAATATCGGCAAGTCCCCCAGACCACTGTCATTATAACATTTTATTTAACTTTAGAGCATCATTTGTGGATATAAAGAAATAAACATGGATTTTCTAAAGCAAACATAAATATATGACTTTTCTATGCTCTACACAACTATTCCTCGAGATAAATTAAAAACTAGGCCTTTTCATACCATAGACAATTTACAAAATGGTGTTAGATACTAATTTAACGTGCACGGCGTGTTTCTGGACTTGACAGAGACATCCAGACTCCCTTGTTTGTAGACCTCCGAACAAACACATCCACGCTCGCTGGATACGACTTTTCGCTTAAACATGCAAAATGGATGACAAATAATTAAGCCGTGATTGGCTTCAAAATGGCAGGACTTTCGCAACATACATGTAAATACCCGTTATCTCATGTTTAACAAAAATATGTCTCTAAACAAACAGAAAAAAGTCAAATAAGCATTAAATTGTGTTGATAATTTTTATGAATTTAGCTGTTTTGAACAGAGAGTAATTAATTATTTCTATCGGAATTTTTATTTAACGATAATTTGTTGTTTTCATTGTGCAGGTGATAATGGGGGTTGGGCCGATATATTGTTTGAGAAAACAAATTTAACACATTTACGCCTGATTATCATCCTTTGGGGGTAATACCACTGACTGGTATATATGCGCTGCGTTGACAGATCTACGTGTTGTTTGTTTCTCTCCGTGCAGAATATTAAAACATTTTTACACAATATGTAAAAGTATTTCTTCCTCTTTTTTTAATATTCTTAAAATGATAAAATACGTCTATAAAGTCAATGTGGTGGGAAAAGGGGGATTAAATATATATTAACGAAAGTCGGAATGGGCTTTTTAAAAGTGTATCATTAATCAAAATGGAGGCACCAAACTTCGATGAACATTTGATTTCGTGGATCGGCTCAACAACGAAGTCCACGAAAATTGGTGTTCCGCGAATAATGATGAAACCACAGTATATCCCAGTGAACTTGAAATAAATAACACCATAAAGTCTGCCACATCTGTTTCATATTTGGATGTTTTCCTGATTATAGACGTTAAGGGCCAATTCACAACTGAATTGTATGACAAACGAGATGACTTCAGCTTTTCCTTCATCAACTTCTCTTATTTATATAGTAATATTCCGTTATCACCTGCTTATGGTGTCTACGTATCCCAACTTGTTAAATACTAGAGAGCATGCTCTGAGTACGATCAGTTTTTAAACCAAGGCAGGCTACTGACAGATAAGTTGATGTTAGAATTTCAACAACCTTGTTAAAAGTCAGCATTTCGTAAATTCTATGGTCGTTATAATGACTTTGTTAACAAATATAACCAATCATTGGGTCTTATTTGGCTGACGTGTTTCAAACCAAATGTTAGGCGCCTTTGTTTTTATACTTAATTTGACTATGGATTGTTCCGTCTACCTGAGCAATATCTAGGGCTCACGGCGGGTGTAACCGGCCAACAGGGGATGACAGGGAATGCTTACTCCTCCTTAGCACCTGATACCATCTCTGGAATTTCCGGGGGTCCGTGTTTTGTGCCCTGCTCACAGATTTATATTGTTTGGAAACTTTTTGAGATCGATCACTGTTCGGTATCTTCCCCCTTTTTACTTTTTCCGTAGGTAAAGTCTTTCATTTATAACACATAAAAAAAATTTGTTCCGCAGGTAAAGTCTTAAAAATCATTTATCATAAAACATAAAAATAAATGTTCGAAAGTTAACGAAATAATGGCCTTCTTTGTGTTGTACATAAAAATCAGTCTTTCATTATCAAAAGAAAATCTTATATCAAAAGAAAAAAAATAACTCTTACCTTTACGATTACTACTGGGATTCCGTTTCTGATGGATTCCCGAACACTTTCCAGAGAATCTAGTCCACCCTCAATAAGTAGTAGGATCATGGGAACGAACACATCATCTGGTGGGGCAAATTTAACAAAATGTTTTCTTTGTCTGTGAGAATTAACGATTGCAACTATTGCGGGAAAAGGGTTACGTATTTTTTTCTGCATAGTTGCAACCATTCATCCCGCATTAACAAAAAATAAAGACAATTTTTTGTTTATATTCACACGTTTATTTAAATAATCGTATGAGGTGGGCTTAAGTACGTAAAATAGGAAAAATTGTTACCAATCAAAGAAAAAAGATATGCACTATGATCGTATTACCTTGGGAATTTCCAGTTTTTATGTTAGCTATAGCTCTCTCTAGCGCTGCTCGGAATTTGATTTCCACCCCGGGTTGATTATTAGTTCCGTTGTCCACCAGTAAGAAGTGGGTATGATTTGGATCCAGGCACTTTTCATTTCTGTCAGTTGTTGGAGTCATTGTGTATGTTGCAGGCCACAAACCCGACCCCTAACAGATAAAGAGAAGAACACCTTTTAAAGCAGAAGGGAAAACAATGTCCATATATATCTGTTGTTCTGTTATGAGAAACTGAATGTTCAAAGTACCACATGACTTACGTAACATAGACAAAGTATACCAGTAAAAACACTTTTACTCAGTTCTCGGCTTCTAGGCGTATAGGTTATTGACAGTTTTTGTATTCCAAATGATCCTGCTTATTGTTTCCAAATTCTCATAATTGTTTATTATACCTGCACTTACTAAAATATGTTCGGGTATATTGATTTTATCCTCCAAATGCTTACAATCGTTTATTATACCTGCACTTTCTAAAGAAAGTTCGGTTGTATTGATTTTATACTTGTCCATCCGCATGTCTGTCACTCTATCTTCTTCAAACTACTTTTTCATTTTAAGAGGTGGCCAACTCATAATTTGGAATTTGAATGTTGGTTCCTTGAACATGAGCAGAAAGATTTTGAAATTTTCAGTTTAAGCCTGGGGTCCAAAAATAGATTTTTCTACAAAAACCTAGTTCCCTGAGCCCCTCTTACATTTTTCGCAGCAGCCCATTCAGATTTTTGAAATGATTCAGAGTGTATACAGGTGCAATAAGGTTTCGGAATTTCTATTTTTACCCTGGAGACAATAAAGGGTTACAAATAACATTTTTCTACAAAAACCTGGTTCCCTGAACTCATCTCATTTTAAAATTTTGATTTTTCTTACCTTGGGGACCAAATGGTGTTCAAAAATGATGTTGTTTTTTTTAAATAAATTCTGGTTCACTGAGGTCGTCTTACATTTTTCACCGTAACTTAATCATATTTTGGAATAAGTCTGGATTATAATTTCCTTTGTTACCCATATATGGAGGTGAGTACATTTAAAGGCAAACACCTACATTTGGGTATTACTGTCTTATGTCAACATCAAGTTTCTTTTTTGCTCTCTCTCTCTCTCTCTCTCTCTCTCTCTCTCTCTCTCAATACAATCGATAACTGCAGGAATGTCTACCGCTGGATGAGTTTTGTGAATACTATAGGTTTCTGAAAAATCCCTTTGCTTCCTTTAGGTCATATTCGGTGCTATGTTATATTTTTGGGGGTAGATGCAATAGATTCTAATTACGCATACTTTTAAAATAAATCTTTCAATTCTGACTCACGAATGTGTCCTGGAGGTCTTCCCGATTTTTCACACACCCCCATGTTGTAATCCCAAGGGCTACCACCGGGACTGTAGAGGCGGCAGTAAGCCAGTAGTCCCTCATCGCCTCACCCACGTACCGCATTACACCAGCATTGATTCCGCCAGTAATAATCCAAGCACCTTATAATTTGAATAATTTTTTTCGCTTTTAAGAACTTTTTTTTCAAAGTAAACTAAGTAATTTTAAAGTTAATAACTATGTTTTAGATATACATGCACTTGCAATCTTTTGATGTTGGTCGTTCATTACTGCTGAGTTTAGGAGTATTGCATACTTAGATCCAAACTTGATCTAGGAATTCATACTTTGTTTCCTGTTTACTATTTGTTGCATTAAACGGTAAGAATAAAGCATAAGATCTTTGTTGCTATTAAACTTTGTAAACTTCTACCTGTACTTGTCGAAGCTTTGATCATTCCTCTACGAAAAATGTCCTTCAGCTTTGATTTCATTCGGAAGTTTTCTGTTCCTCCGGTGACAGAAATGAGAAGGTTAGGTTTCTTCATGTCCCAAACATTAAGCAGTAGATGAAGAACATCTCTCATGTTTGTCTCGGTGTCGATTCGAATATACTGTTTAAAAATAAAAAAAAAAACAACAGTTTCTTTAAGCTTACTTCAGCCACAGATTCACGCTAGATTTTCTGATCAGAATCCGTCAGATTACTATTCAGATTTTCGACTTCTTTATTATCGTTGGGCTAATTTCAAACAAATTAACGACGCGTAACTTGGTTAGGGGGTTATTTCTTTTCATCAAAGGATACGCCTCTTTCCAAGGGGAAATGATCAATAATTGATGAAAATGCGATGGAATCATTCAAAAGACGTCTCAAGAACCAATGGAAAAAAAGGCAAAACTTACTGAAAATCACTTTTAATTCGCAAGAACTTAATTTTTGCGTAATTACGCGAGACAGTCTGCTCGCAAAAATTTCATTCTCGCGTATATTTTTGTTAGTAAAGGTTATATACAACTTTACCCAGAATTCGTGAAATATTTGTCTCGCTTATAAATACCAAATAACTATCTCGCAAAAATAAGGTGTCGCGAATATTTGGTGATCTACAGTAAATAAATTCTTCCTTATATAAAGTATTATATTCAAATTAAAAGTGTTCAAATGTTAGACTATATTTGGCCCAACTCTAGCCCATGGGTTAGGGTTGGGCCATATTAGGGGGTTAGAGCTTTATATCAATTTGAATAGAAAGGAGAATATCTTTAAAATCTTCTTCTCAAGAACATAAGGTTTACAGTTGTTGCAAACAGTTGCAATCTTAAAGATTTTTCTAGAAAAATTTAATTATTTGATTTATATATTATCGAAAATGTTCGGTATATTACCTGGATGAATTTTCAAGATTTATCTAGAATATGTCAGAACGTGATGTCCTAGAATTTTACAGAAGTTTCTATTTCTAGATGTTTCTTTTCTAGTAAATAAAATACATTGTTTGAGTATTATTTCAGAAAATATTCTGAAAATCTTAGCCAATGTAGTATTGAGATTGAAAACACTTGTGGATCTGTTATTTGACTTTAATCGACAAAATAAATGATAGAAGAAAATTTCCGTGTGATTGTGATTGTCTCAACAATTGGTCTTATTAATATACAGACATTTCAAGATAGTATAGACGGTTCAGATTTCTCCAAATCATGGAAGTTAGAGTCAAGGTTGTGGCAAAAAGGAAGGTCAGAGTATAAAGACATACAGATATCTGGTTAAATGTTTAATTTTTTCTCCTCAAGAACAGAGACCGTATAATTTGTTAAATTAATATGCATGCACAGTCACGTCAAAGAGTGAGGATTCCAGTTTATGCAAATTATAACCCCCAGACCTCGGGATGGGGTACAGAGAGGGGTCAAATAGTTATATAGGAACATGTAAGGGAAATCTTTCAAAATTTCCTCCTGTGCTATACAGTGAAGATTCGATTTCATCATCAAGCGACAAAAGAATCCATTTTAAGAAAACGGGAAAAAGTCTTCAAAAATCTTCTACAGTTAGTTATATATTAGAATAGACAAACATCCTTATGCAGTAAACATTCAAGTTTTTTTTAAACATGAGCCAGTGTCTAGAGTGGTAATGTCTTAAGGGGTCAAAGTTTTACATAAAAATACACGGTATAAACGCGAAAGCATCGAAGCTTCAATTTGTAATCTTAATGTCAAACCTCAATACATTTGAAAATTATAATTGCTATAATCATTGATGTTAGTAAGTTGTTGGATATTCTTGAGATTTTATTAGCTACAGAAGGGTAAACTAGTATATTGACAGATCAGAGAGCTACAGTGCCACACACAGGAAAAAAACTGTATATTTATTGCACACAAAGAGTTACTCTCTGTTCTGGATTGATTTCTCCAAATTCTTACCTCAACTGCACAAAAGTTTGATTTCAAAAAAATCCTAAGTCCTCTATTAACTACTTTTGTAGTTGACATCTTTAAGAAGCGCGTTGGGCCGAATTGTCTTGCCACCCAAAATGGCAATATTAATAGGCGAACTTTTGGGGGGGGGGGGGGGCTATTAACAACAGTTACAGGAATTTTTTATGTGGAAATGGTGAAAGAATATGTTATGAACATACGATTAGTAATATTTTGGGATTGTAGTTTAAAAATTACGTAGAAATAAATCGAGACAGAGTGCCATAAATATACACTTTTTTCAATGGGTGGCACTTAAGCTCTCTGGTCGTCCATCCCAAGTTTTTTCAGACCAGCGAGCTACAGATCTGCAGGTAAGGTTTTAACACACTTTAAGGCATAGGGAAAAATTCTAGATATCCGACTGCCGGAGAGGCGAAGCCAAAATTTCATTTTAGTGAAGTATTTTTTTTCTTTATGCCTGAACTTGTGGAGGCCTCTGTCAAAATTCTTAATTCTTTGTTCCAAAGTTCTAGATCTTAAGAATTCAATCAATGTGCTATCTTCGAAAATATATAGAAATATATATTTAAAAACATGTCACTCACTATTTTTTACTTTAAGTAAAGCCTACCTTTCTTTGAATGTCTTCGTAACCCACAAATTCTAATTCTCCAAAAGCATCTGTCGGTAGAACTTTTGTGTCTCTTTTCCATGACCATGTGACCGCCGATGGTAGCGAATTGGCAATGGCGGTAGTCCTGCAGTGTCTATAAAATGGTAGTCCACAGAAACAAAGGGTTTCTTTTCCAATTTTGCTAAAGAAACAAACGCATTTTAGCAATACAAGATTTGGTAAGATTCTCAGGATCAGTAAAATTATATTCCATTAACATAAATGACAAAGGCAAGGTAATTTTAGGAAGAGGTAGGGGGATATTCTGAAAAAGCAAGTTAATAAACATTAATTATAATAAGCTGTCTGGAATACTAGTAATTGGCTTGCTGAAAAAAAAATAATCTAAAATCTGAAATAGGGGAGCAAAAGAAATTTTTAATAATCTGTCCAATTTATAAATCAATACAGCCAAAAAACTATAATATATTGCTGCATAAATAAGGATAGTTGACGATAGAAAAGTTAAAGTCATCACGCTTATCATGAAATTTAGTTGTTAGTTTGCCATTAATGTCTTTTCCTAGTAAAATATCTAAATATAAAGCAGATGTAACAGACTGTAATGCCTTTTACTTCGTGTTCAAAGGGATAATTATATGGTATCAACGTAGGCATGAAAATAAATACAGTCAATTGATAAAACGTCTTCGATATATCTAAATGCCGAACTTAAAGCCACAGCAAAAGACTTTCTGCTTCTTATGAATACAAAAACTGGTATGCTAATAACGGTGCACAATTAGTTGGAACGGGAATATTCCAAGAGATTGTTGGAAAACTTGATCTCCAAAAACTATACATCGATATCGTCAATAAAAAAACTATTTAAATTAACATCATTTTTGGAGTACTTGTGTGTAGAATCAGAATGTTTCTTAACAAAAAAAAATTGCATATGACCATTTACAAGGTATTTAAATTTACGAGTTCCATTTTTACTGAAAAAGATGAATGTCAAAAAGCCCGGCCTTTAATTTATCTTGGAGAATGGTTATAATCAATTCAATCAGTAATTAAATAATCAGTAGTTAATCAACTCTACTTGTCCTGTAAATATGCAAACAGTGTATACCTTACAACTCTTCTCTTAAGAGTCATTCTCTGTAAGCATCAAAATGGGCTGGAAATAGACTCTCACCGATTTTGTTTAATCTTGGTGACATAATTACACTATAAGCCCATTTAAAAAAAATAGTATTGCAAATGATCAATTGGCATTGTTTCCATGGTAACGGGTCACCTATTTTTGCACATATGTGGGAAATAACAACAAAGGTCATTTCACCCCATTAATATTTATTTGATGAATTTAAATGACTATTATTAATTTTCATCTTTAAAATTATTTGTGAATTGTATTTTCTAAACAAGAAAACTGCAAAAAAAAGTTTTGGACCTGCCAAGAAATGCAAAGTAATGTCAAAAAATGCTATTAGAAAGGTGGGGAAAACATAACAGTGTACCTAAAAAACGCAGGCACTGGTGGAATATTTTAATGCTCCTAATTTTACCCTAAACAATTATTATGAACATATCAAAAAATTGGAGTGGTAATATTTGATTTAAGAAAATAAATCAATTGTAATGTTTGTAAAAATCTCTGAAAGTATTCGGCGCGTCGGCGCGCTCGCGCAACAGATTTTGTTTATTAAATAAATTATCGCTTATACAATTCTGTTAGCATCGGGCGCGATATCATAAATAATCAAAGTACTGAGAAGTACAGAGAGCCGGGACCATTTACAGAGAAGTGAACAAGTCCGTTTTACATGAAACATACATTGTAATTACAGATGAATAACAACAAGACACTGGAAGAATATGTAACACAAAAATATATTTATGGCATATAGTATGAATGAAAAATGTTTAAAAAAATTAAATAAAATGCAGTTTGAATTTAACAGCGCAAACAATTTATCACATGTATCGTTTCGGGGTCTAACACCACTTACAGAAGTAAATAAACATTGATGCAGCAAGGTCAAACGTTTATACACAGACGGGTCCTCAGCGGGGAGTTTTGCATAAAGGTGTGCATCGGGTCACGTGTTCCCCGCATTACTGTTAGCCTGGTAACAGAACCTTTATTTACAGAATGTACGTGAAGCTGGCAGACTTGATGAAATTACCTTTCGCATTTTTTAGACAAATAATTTATTGAAGAAAAGAGTAGAAAGAGTATTACCATTAATTTTTTTTTTTTTTTTTTTTTTTTTTTTTTTTTTGTTGAGAATTTCTTAGTTAACTTAAATTTGTTTAATTAAGTGTTTGTATTGCTTCAAAGATGGTTGAGCATACGTTCTATATTCTTACTCGTATTTAATTTGGCGGTGAGGAAGCAGCATTTCCGGTTGAACACCGTAACATAAGCCGGCTATTGCTATACGAGCAATGAGCCCGGCTAGAAAGAAAAAGTTTCATATAGATGGAATTATGTTTTTGAAGCTTCAACATCATTATTTAACTGCCTGTGGTTTCTTTTATTTATGGCCACTAATTAATACAGTAAATACACTGGTTTTATCAATTTTCATTGGCATCAATTTTTTGTTCAATCAGTGAATGACTCAGTATTTCGTGAACACAGGTCATCATAAAACTTTTTGATATGCTTCTTACTCTAATGACCATCAAATTCTATTTTAATTTTCACTGTGCAAAACACAAAACCACAAAAATTAATGTTTAAGGAATGTTGATGGAGCCATTGTACATGTACTTTATATGATTGGATTTTTAATGAGATAAGTGGTTGAGAAGACTACAATATGGGGAGGCAGGACTTTATGTATACTGGCACATGATCTATAGTGCAAATGATCTGTTTAGGTTTACAGGCCAGCCATTTCTGTGACTAAAGTTACTCCCCCTCCTGAAATAAAGACAAGTTAATTTTTAGTAGTAGTATTATTTTAATACGTAACAAGGAATCTTTGTCAAACACTGATACCAATGCGTGGCAGCTTATTGCCATGATAATCAAGTCTTTAAAAAGGGGATTAAACTCTAGAGTCTAGGGTCATTACGTAATACCAGTAAATTTTTGTTATACATAAAGATATATTTATATATATATAGAGAGAGAGAGAGATAAATCGAAAGTAGGCCACCTAAAAAAAATTGGGGTTTATTTCGGATTACTCTAGCACAAATTGTGGTGAGGCATGCAAGGATCAAAGGGGATCCGGATCCCTGGAAAATTCAAATTTATTTAAACTGACATAGTAAAATTACTAAAGCTATGCCTCGGACCTCTTTCCCTTGCGATTTGAGCCAACACCTCCTAAGGAAAAATTTCTGGATCCACCCAACAAAAAATTACAATCGGGCTCAGGCTGTCTACTTGAATATAAGCGATAATGCTTAAATTATTAAGAAAATCGATCTCATTTGAGTGTTTTAATGTAGGGAGAAAATACTTTTGTGATATTGGGATGAGATGGACGCGCTGGCGCGCCGACGCGCCGAATACAATTAGCCTCATTGTATTCGGCGCGTCGGCGCGCTCGCGCAACAGATTTTGGCGTGCCGACGCGCCGAATACAACTAGCCGTTGTTTCCCTTTTCGGAAATCTTCAGCCAAATTTCAAGAAAGTGAAAGTAGAGAGCAGAACATGATTCAGAGGAGTTAATTCTCACTGTTTTGGATATTTTCAGTCATTTTAAACCTACTTTGTATAGTATATAGAGGATATACAATGTTTTGTAGATGAATATGGAATTTATTTCACGAGTGGGACAGGATTTTTTTTATATTTTCACGAGTGCGAAGCACGAGTGAAAATATCAAAAAATCCTGTTTCACGAGTGAAATAAATTTCATATTCATCTACAAAACATTGAATTTTCTGTTTATTACATTTTCTTTGATTTTCCCTTTGCCTCGGTCTTTTCTTAACACAGTGTCATAGGCTTGACGTCATAGTTGAGCGGTTGAGACGTCATAGCTTAGAAGTTGTGTGTCAGATTGAAAACATTACATAGCATGGATTTTAGCAACATATTTAGGAAGAAATTTGCAGTTTTAGCTCTATCAAGATGCTTAGTTACTATCTCTATCTTATGAAAGGCCAGAAATTATTTTTTACTTACTTTGATATCCTTTCACACTGTGAGAGAATATCATTTTTGGTATCCTTTCACACTGTGAGAGAATATCACTTTTATTTAATAAATAAATCACAGTATTTCACTGTTGAGAATGTAATAATTCGTATTACTGGAATTTAAATGTTTGGTCAAGCCTTGCTGTGCCTGAGAAATATATGTGTTTGGTCGTGAAAAGCCTGAAAATGGATTTCACCTTATTGAAATTCCAAGTGTGATACGTACCGATGCTCTGCATGAACAATAGAAGCATTGGAAACAAAATATTTATAAGAAAGCAACAGCAGTTACATAGATTCCAGAGCTACAATTATGTTGCGTTTGGTGATAAGACCTTGAAAGATACCTGGCAGTAATAAGATCACTAGGCAAGTATCAAAGTACAAAAACCAGGGGTGTGCAATTAAAAAAAATCAAGTACTAGCCCACGGACTAGTGACAGCAATAAAGTTACTAGCCCCAAGTAAAAAGTTACTAGCCCAAATGTAGGTGGTAAAAGTAACAACTACGAAAAAATAAATTATTGTTGAATAAGTCAGGAGTTTAAGGTAATTCTTTTTAAAATAAAAGTTTTATTCTCACTAGTAAAATTGAATCATGTATAAATTAATAATTATGATAGAAAATAAAAATGAATTTAAGTAAATTATTTTTTTCCTTTTCTCTGTGCATATTGCACCAGCACTAGCTCATCTAAAACGAAGTGAAAACGTTTTTTTTTTTGTCTTAAATTATTAAATACACTGGAAGTATATTTTATGTACACGTAAATCACATAATACTTATCTTTCAGTTGATTGAGTGATCGTAAATAATAGATATCTGCCTTTATTTGCCATAAACTCATGGATGGAGGAAATTCGGATTAGGAAAAAAAACGATCGTTTTTGGAAGTAAATAAGTCAGGAAGTGCTGTAAAATGGATAAGATTATGGAGATTTACGAACAATGGGAGCATTCTGCCTGGAAATTTTTCATTGGTTGGGAATTTAATAGCAAAAAATAAGTAAAAATACCGGTAGTGATTTTCATTTATAACATTGGTATTTTTAATTTTTTCTAGCCCAAGGGGCTACCTGCATGCAGAGAACAACTAGCCCGACCCCAAAAAATGGTAGCCCCGGGCGTTGCTAATTGCACACCCCTGTTTAAAGCCTTTAAAAATTATTTACCTTTGTCAATATTTACTCTTAACTCATGCATGTTTGTGAATTATTAGTAAACTAATTAATAACAGTGTATGAATATCTATAAGAAAGAAACATCAAAGTATCCAATGAACATCAATGACATTTGAATTCAATTATTAAAAAATTAATTAATAATCGTCAAGTTTTCAAACTGCATATAATAGTAAATATCTGTTGTTGAAAATTATGTTATCCATACAGCATATATGATAAAATCTACATCGGTTTTAAAGTTACATCATTTCAATGTGTGTTTGCATAAAGGGGGGGGGGGGAGTAACAGTATATAGTTACTGTCTTGCATTCATTCAATCATTAACTGTTTTTACATGTTGATCCAGGTAGAATGTAAACACATGTAAAACCATCACATTGCTAAACAAAACACAACATTGCAGGTTTTGTAGGTTTCAGTGTGTCCAGGGCTTAATTTTGTTTGTTTGGATTATTTTTGGAGGGTGGGGGTAGTGTCATGTGCTATTTCATTTAAGAACTAATTATATAAAATTAGAAAAACTTTGAAATTTGTTTTATAATCTCTAATTACATTATATAATTGCAACTACGTAAGAAAGTTTAAAATATAGAAAGAAATTTTCATTATTAAAACAGTACTACTTCACACTTAATAGAATTCTGTAATTAATGAGATATCCTTATAAAATTTGATATAAGGAATTAAATATAAATTTTTGTATCTCAGCAATGCAAAGGCTGAAATGTTCATTTTAACTTCAAATGTTTAAAATATGGAGAAGAAAGGGGGATGATTGAAGCTATATATTTATGCAATCAAATTGATGCATGCAGTTGGCAATGTTTGCTGCAACTGTGGCCCCTGACTTTGTTTTGGGAGAACAGATTGAAGACATCTCACTTCATATTATTTTTATATGAGGGGGTGGGGTTGGGGGACTTAATCATATCTCATGCAATATTTGCATTTAATGGCTCTTGTTTTTTTTCTTCTTTTTTTTAAAGTGTTTATGTATGTAAATGCTAATTGATCCATTTGTTGTTTTTTTTTTTTTAGGAAACAGTGCACAAAAATTGCTAAATACTATTTGGAACTGAGAAATGTATGCTTAATATGGTGGTTTTACAAAGAAATAATCAAAATCGAGAAAAAATTTGCAATGACATTATGTGATTGCACAAGTGAAATCATCTAAAATGCAGAATCAGGAAAGATGAAAAGAGAGATTTTTTTATATTGAAGATTCACAAAATAAATTTTTCATGAAATTATGCAACCATTATTGACAATAAGCATAATAGGGATGCTACTCGATGCCTAATTAGAAGTGAAGGATTGTTTTAGTTGTATTATTTAGTAAATACATATTGGTATTAAGTGGTCAAATAAACAAAATCTTTATTCAGTGAAATTTCATGATTTGTCAACTTGAGCAAAATATGAATTTATAATTTTGTCAGATTTATCAAGTATGTTAATACAGGTTTTTGTTGTTGTTGATCTTATTGAGTATGATAAGTTAAAAAATGTTTGGGTAGACAGAGTACCCTCTAGTTCATGAGAGTAATTTTTCATTAAAGTCAGAATTTCATGTTGTTCTGTTTCTTGTTTCTTGGCATGCCAGCAAGATAATGTAGTATTCTTTAACATAAATTTAATAATTTTAACTAAGGCCAAAAAAAATAATTAGTCTTGTTTCCTGCATCAAAAGACATGAAATTTAATTTTAAAAGACAATATTGACCTGTGACATGTTTAATTTGATCTTGCATTAGTTCATATCCAAAAAAAGCCGTCGGAAAAAAATAAAATAACTTTCCTACCTACCCTATTTTTTTTCAGGCTGGTAGCAGGAAACAAGACTATAATTTTTTGGCCTAAAATCAAAATACATGTACAAATGTCTCTAACAAGACTACTAGTTTGTTATTATAATAAAAAAAGAGAAAATAAGCTCCTTGACTCAAAATTTTATTCTTATAAATAAAATGATTCCTGATTTAGTTTACTCATGTACCAAGTGATATTGAAGTCTGACTAAACCTGCAGGGAGGGTAGTCTCTGGCCAGTAGCAAAATAGATCAGGTTAGGTCAAAGTCATGAATAATGATTTCAGAGTCGAACATTAGCATGGTTGAAGTTCTGTCTTCAAGTTGTATGAAATTCAAGGTACAGGTAGCAAGGTCAATGCAAAATCAGGTCAAGGTCAATGTCAGAGTCAATGAGTATAATTATCAACATTAGGAAATGTAATAGCAATGCAATGAATAGGGAGGGGCAACATCACAAAATCTTGAAATGTTTGAATTGTGATTAATATCTAAATTAATTTAATCAGTGAATGATGGTAGACAATTATATCTTCGACAGTTTCTTTTTACATGAGCAAAAATGTAAACTGATGGAGGGTAGAAAGGAGAATGGAACAACAAAGATGAACATGACAAATTATATACTGTAAACCAATTTCTATTCACGTGCGAAAAATATCTGCGATTTTCACGACCTATTTTAACTCCCCAATATTAATTGCCGCAAACCATTTATCTTGCTATATATTTGTAAAGGACATTTCCTCAGTTGCGAAAAATACTCGTCTCGGATTGTTTTCAAACTGAAGAGTCGCGAATAAAAGGTGACGCGAATAATAGTTGGTTTACAGTAATTTTGGTTGTTCCATTCTCCTTACTGCCCTCCATCAAAAAAGGAGAATGGAACAACCACAGATGCACATGACAAATTATATAACTTGTCATGTGCATCTTTTGTTGTTCCATTCTCCTTTCTGCCCTCCATCCAAGCATACTTTGTATGGCAATATATGAGGCATATAATATTGACTTTCAAGGGGGGGGGGGGGGTTACTGCAAAAAAAGGAAGGGGAAGGGAATTTCCATTGAATTTTATATTGGCAGTTATTGCTTATACATCCATTTATTGTTTGTTTCCATTGAAACAACATAGTGCAAAACCACTCCTGTTGCAGTAATTTTGATATATTTGTATTTTATTAATTTAAGTGTTCGTCTGTGTATGTGAGGGTAAGTACATGATTAGAAGTTGATCAAGCACTGAGTCTCTAGTTTTGTATTTTGATAATATCAATATAATAGGGACTGTTCCTGAACTATCTTAATGTGGTTGCCAAAGCAATTGCATGAAATGACAAGGTTAATTAGCATGATTTATTTTATTGAAGAAGAAACGTAACATTCAACGATGTGTACATTGATAATATCAATAATAATAGGGATTGTTCCTGAACTATTTGGTTGCCATAGCAACTGGTTTTTTTTTAATTATGAATTGAAATGAAGTAAAATGATAAAGTTGATTAATTTGATTTATTCATTGATTCAGAAGAAGAAATATTATAAGCAATGTGGCTATGTTTATTTTATATTGTTAATATCAATAATTATTTGAATAGTTCCTGAACTTTGTGGTTGCCATAGCAACGTAGTATTTTTTTTTTAAATTTTAGATTTCTATTTTGCTTAATGTTAAGTGAATTGAAAAGGTAAATTAGTGAGTTATTTTTTCATTAATGATTTAATTAAAGCAGATATGTACAAAAAATCAGTCAAATATAGAATCTACAAATTAATCCAAATTCTCCATGGCAACCATTTTTGTTTTCATTTTATTTTATTTTAAGAAATATTACCACTCTAGAAATTTCATATTTTGTTGAGTATGGAATGAACTTTTACCTGATGGTGGTCATTTGCTATGGAGTGCCTGCATTTTTTTGCTATTATTTGTAGAAAATGCCCAAAATCTGCATTTTTTAAAATTTGTTAAATTTTTAAAAATTGACACTTTTCATTGAAAGATCATTCATTCATGATCAACTACTGAATCAATTCACTAATTGCGGTAGTTATTCCTATAAATAATACATCAGAATAGGTAACCGTCAATCCTGTATGAAATGTGTAGAAAATAAAAAATTAAGATGAAGTGGGTACAATTTTAGTAGAATGTTGCTCATTTATGAGCTAAAAATGGCGGTTTTGGTAACCATGGCAACCGGTACTCAAATTTTTCTGTTGACCCCAAATATGATCTATACATAGTGTTTGCATGTAAATTACATGCAAAATATCAGCCAAATCTGTGATATACCATTTCCAACTTTTTTCTAAATTCTTTGATGCTTACAGAGAATGACTCTTAAAATTTGGAGAAATATTAATATTTTATAGCTAATGTATCCATGAATATTTTACTCAAATTCATTAGAGAAGCATCAAGCGTGCTATACTTTTCCTATGCAAGTCTAAGAAAGAACAATTAATGTCTGTCGTTTTCATCGAATACATGAGTAAACTATTGTTTATAACCTTAATTATATACACAAACAATTTCTTACTAATCATCTTTCAGATCTGCAGCCACAAATCTCGCACACTCGCGCATCTTTATTTTCTTTCGAATCCATCTTGATTCCGAACTTTGTGAAAAATCCTGAAATATAACATGGTGAAATGTCCATTCAATCAAGTGGAATTTTTAAATTAAATAAGTATCATTTTGTAAAGTATAGAATTTGGTATACATAAACAGTAAATTGTTTTACTAACCTCCTCGGCTTGCCCTATGGAGGAAACATCTATGAATCTGGACGTCCGTGTCATTCCCGTCTCTGATAGCGTTCTTGATCTGACTCGTACTGTTCTCAGCATGCATGGTGCAGACAGTAGCGGAGGTTAAAATTGTCGGTCTCTTTCCTGGGAGTATACTACACTATTGTTTGTTAAATGTTGTAGCATTATGGAAACCCAATAAACTCATGATGATTTACTTCTGGTTTCTATTATTGAATTTCTTGTGGTTTTCCTTGATAGTTTGTTGTTGATTGTATGGGTCGTTGTAAATTTGAAGGCTTCAAATTGTTTTTTTTTTTTCAGTTTAGTTTATATTATTTACATTTTTAAAAGAATTAGTTCTGTTGAATTTAATCGAGGGTGTTTTAGACAAGAATTAAGAAATTCAAAACATTGAAATTTCACCGGCTTTATTTTGTAACAAATAAAATCTTTGAATGAACTCTCTATAGGAAATTAAAGCATGATTTTTTTTATGCCCCGGTAATCGAAGATTCGGAGCATATAGCTTTTGATCTGTCTGTCCATCTGTCTGTTTGTCTGATTGTTCGCATAAACTTTAACCTTGTCCATAACTTTTGATTGGTTGAAACTATGGTTTTTTATATTTCATATGAGTATTCTTTCTGAAGTCTTTTCTTCGGTTTCTAATGTGTTTGACCTCTTGACCTTGGAGTTTGTCCCTTTTGCAAAATTTTACCGAACATAAACCTTAGCCATACCTTTTGAACGATTTGATGCTAGGCTATCATACTTCACATGTGTATTCTTGTGACAAGACCTTCTCTTGGGTACCAACAATTTTTGCCCTTTCACCTTCACCTTTGAGTTTGACATACTTTTGAAAAATTTTAGTCTTGGCCATAACTAGAAATGGCTACGAATATGGCTTTCATATTTCACATTGGTTACATGAAACTTGTTTTAAACATTGTTTTAAATTGACCTTCCATTTGGTATCATTTATTTTGACCCATTGATCTTGGCCTTGGAGATTGACCTATATTTGAAAACTTTTAACCTTGGCCATAAGTCTGGAACAATTGATGCTAGGGCTCTCATATATTTCACATATGAATTCCTTGTGTCAAGACCTTCCCTTTAGATACAAACAGTTGACTTTTTGTCCTTGACCTTGAAGTTTGACCTACCTTTTAAAAACTTTAACCTTAGCCATAACTTTTGAACAGTTGGTGCTAGAGCTTTCATTTTTCACAGGTGTATTTCATGTTACAATACCTTTATTTTGGTAACAACATTTTTTATCTCTCGGCTTTGACTTGCATTTGAGAAGCTTTAGCCTTCGCTATGAGCTGCCATAATACGGGAGTATCAATGTTTTACAAACACACCTTGTTGTTGATATTTTGAATTGGATATAGCATTAAATTTATTGATTTAGAAAGATCACGGCCAGGAACACCTTAAGTTCCTTTACAGTACCGTTGTCAGAGACCTTTAAAGTTAAGCACTAAAATTGGTTTCTTTGTCATGACTTCACAGGTGAGGTTAAGATAATGTCCGTCCGGTGTCATTCAAAACATACAAGAATTTTACTGAATGCATAAAAATTCATGTCTTTGTTCAATTCCAGGAATACACTTAAGTATTGGGGAACAGATACATCATTTAGTATTCATGACAAAAAGTCATGTCTCTGTTATCCTATATATATTCAGAGTAGTTTTGATTGGCGATTACATACCATGGTGTAAAAGCATGGATGTGCGGTGAAAAAATATATATTTTTCGTCATCAAAATTTACATAAAAAGCACTTTTAAAATTTCGTACTTTGAAAAGTAGCTCTATTTTCATTTCATTAGACATATTACAGCCTTTTGCAGAACGCATACTATATGAGAACTTGGCGTTTATAAGCAAAATGTCCGTTGTCAGTACATTTTATATGTAAGTTGATAAGGTGCGGTGTCACTTATCTTAACATGTAAGTCTGTCTATGAAATGGTGCGGAAATGATCAGATTTATTTATTCTTAAGGCACATATAATATCGGGAGAGGGGGTGGTCCCCAACTTAAACTTATACCGTTTATTTAATTAGTATGAAAGTATTCTTTGAAAGATCGGTTGCCACAACCCCCTCACCCCGCTTTTTGTTTCAGTACAGTCAATTCTCTTATCCAAGAATTTGGAAATTAAGCCACCCCCTTAATAGGATTTTCTTCTCTCTCTATGTAGTTTGTCAAAGAAATTTCAGGTAAATTTCCAGTTACTGTCCCATCCCCTCTGGATCCCCCACCTTTCAAAAGCGATGCTATATGCATGAAGAGATAACAGATTTACGCAAATATCATGATGATTAGAGTAATAATTTTACATTTCTTCGGTTTGCTGAAAGCAGCTCAAAGTTCAACAATTTGAAATTTTAAAAAATGCAATAAAGTAATTTCAATTCCAATTCTACTAGGTACGTGTATTTTGGTGTGAATATCAGCAGTACCCCTCCCCCCCCCCCCCAAAAAAAAAAATCATAATAGACATACTGAATAGTATGCGTTTTATTTTACTACTCGTAAAAATTAAAGATAATTTTATGAGTTATAAAGTGAAATATTGTCAAATATACACGATGCCAAAGTCTGTTGGTTGGCTGCTTGCTTGCTTCATGTCCCTTGAACGCTACTGACTGCCTATTGAGGAATGCTTTAGATCTATACTCGGCACTTGTAGACACAGAACAGAAAAAGTTTTATTTCATACCAACATCTGACTATTATGATACGGGACTTATACCAGTCTCGACGTCCGCGTTGAAATTCGAACCAGTGACGTAAAGATCAATTCTCTTGCTCCTCCACACTAGAGTGAAATGCTCTAACCACTGCATGCGCTGCTGCTAAGGTGTGCACCCTTAAAAGTCTAACTTTGAAGCTCAGTAAATCTTAAATTCCTTTGTCATTAAATCGTCCACCCATTAATATATTCAATTATTTTTGTTTTATAATGAGATTGGTCCTTTGAATCTAATTTAAATCATTAAGGTTGTCTCCTAGAAACAATTATAGAAGAATCAGTGCCATGTTATCGATGAAACATGCTTTTAAATCTTCTATTAATAGCACGTTCGAAACCTACGGCGCCGTTGGAGGGCCAGATAAAAAAAATATTTGTTTGTTCGGACGAATAAGATATTTGTTCGGACAAATTAGATATTCATTCGGACAAATTAGATATTTGTTCGGACAATTAAAAATTTGTTCGGACAAATTACATATTAGTATTCGTTCGGCGAAATGATGCATGTATGACCGGTTTTCCTTTCCAGCATCTTTTCCCTCTATTTTCAGGTGTAATTGATAAATAGAATGCATTAAACAGTAGTTTACCAATGTTGTATACTGTGCAATTCTGACAACGGACCGATGACAACGGACTGAATTTTTGTAACTTGTCATGACAACGGACATAATTTGAATTACTAGTATAGCAAAAATGTTCAGTTTTACTTTGCTTTGATTTTTATTTCAAGGGCTAACAATACCTCATTATATTACCTGTACCTAATGTTGGGTATTGTTTATTGTATAAAAGAAAAATATGTTCATTTCAAAGAAAATTTAAACAAATCAAAATATGTTTTAAGCAGGGTGTTGTATCGCCAACGCAAACTACTGTAATATAACCTGTTAATATCTGACGTTATTGATGCACCAACAAATATATTGTCAGTTCTGTTTCCCACTGTAATTTGAGGGATTGTAATCAATTAACTTACTTGGAAAATGAAATTAAACTAATCATTAGTTCTCTGAAGTTATGACATCGGACGGATATCATCTTAATCTCACCTGTGAGGTCATGACAACGAACCAATTTTAGTGCTTAACTTTAAAGGTCTCTGACTACGGTACTGTACAAAAACTTAACGTGTTCCTGGCCGTGAAGATGCTGACATGACAATTCATGTATTGTGTGATCCTGGACTAACTCGTTATCAAATGTTTTGAGTAAATGTTTGTAATGTAGAGCGATGAGATTGATTTTCGATAAACTCCTAGACATATTTTGTTCAGATTATCCGTGAATAAAGCGTCATAGATAATGCGGGTATTTTTATCCTCCATGCACTTGCTTGGTGAAGAAAGACCCTAAGAATTACCTAATACACTACATACAGTATAAAGATAATTATTTGGGACTGTGCATGCTATTCCTTGACAGAATTCTTTGGTTTCCAGACGATACATAATTGTCTCTGCCCTAGACTTCTAAAGCACCAACAATCAATCACACAAGAGCTATTCAACCAGAATTTTGAAATTTTGAAAAAGGGCAGATTTTTTTCCACTAGAATTCTATTCATAACCGCATATATTACTGTGTATGTATATACTTATAATTACTTATAATTAACTATAACCCATCCACCCACTCCCGGTAAAAATTAATATGAGGAACTTATAATTGGCAATGTATGAATCATCATATCCATTGTTCATTACATTGTCCGACTGATAACTATATGAAAGGGAAAAATCACTGAGCGCTCACAGTTTATATAATATGCTTTTATCAAAGAGAGCATGGACATACTAATACTCAAGTTCATATGTTGACTGTTGTTGATCTTTGGGCCTCTTGGTGAAATTTTTGAATAAAATCTTCCTCCTACCTCTTGCAAACTATTATAGTGTGTATTTATATACGGTATCGAATGAACTGCTTATTTTGAAATCGTCGTGTACTACTTTTTTACCTTCAATTATAATCTAGAGCAGTCTATTGACACTCTATTGACACGGGGTTTTTAAACAGAGTTATGACCAATTGACCCAATTTGTATCACAAGTAGGAAATGTTTCAAATAGAGAAAATATAACGAAATAGGATCGACTGTCGGACATGCTTTATACAGTTTAGTTCATTGATAAACATTACGAATCATACGTACTCAAAGCAAACAATCAATGTAGTAATAAAGCATAAAATTCCAATATTTTACAATTTTACTATATTTTTGGTATTTTATTGATAAGATTACACTTTTCTATTCTTAAGTACACTTTTCTAAAGTACAAATTCACAGAACCAATCGTTCAATTTACAAAACATGATTTGTGATTCTATTATGCCTATTTCTTGTAGAATTATATGTTCAGTTGATAGCTGACCACTAATTTAACTACTTCTTTCTATACATTTTCCCTTTCATGGTTGCTTTAGAAGTAACCGCTTCAATGTTCTGAAAAGCAGAAACAAAACAATTATTTTCATAATATATAATCATGATTATAGTAAAATTGAATATAGGAAAGTAAATTTATCGATATCTACTTGTTTACAATTCATATCTTTTTTTTCAAAGAATTTTTTAATTATGAAAAGTGAACATGTTGTTATTGATTTATGGAAGCTCTTTGGTACGTTTTTGGAGAATTTTTCAAACTCAGGTCTGGTGATAAATATCTATGTAACGGTTGTAAAACCCTTTTAAATTAGCAACTCCATTTATAATTTTTAACAAATAACGGCTTTCCAGATTAATTAATGTATACTTACATACTCCATAACATCTCCATTAACCTTTCTACAGATGATGAATTCTCGGTTTTTGCCGTCTTCCATATTAGTTATCTCGTGTTCTTTAGTTTCACAGTCGCTGATGACGTTAACAGTTGACTATAAAAGGATGATGTCTAATTTATTGCAAATAGTCTGTTATCAAATAAAATCCAAATGACGTAATTTTAGGTACATATCAGAATTTGAATATTAATTTCTTGATTGTAGATTATTTACTTGCTTAATACTAATACTCATCATTTCCCGTCTCGTTAAAGCGTACATTGGCCAGTATTATAAACTTATTTACGTCAAGTATAACTTTACCTTTACATCTGATCCATCCGGACCCTTTGAGTCAAACGGTTTTCCGACCTCGATGTTGTACGTCATGGGGGTGTCGGGATACATAGAAGAGAGCCATGTGACTTTCCATTTATTGCCGTTGATTTCATATGTTACCGTTGATGTTGCACCCTTGTATTTGTCTTTGTACTCTCCCAAGCCTAGAGTACAACATATACCAACTAGTTAGCAATGTTACACTGTAAATACAGGTAGTCTTTTTTTAGTCATTGTTCTAAAGAATTATTTAAACTAGTAGGGGTATATGGTAAACATGACAGTTACCATTACAAATGAAAGAAATATGTATTATGTATAACATTACACGTTCTGTTTGTCGAGCTGCAGAAAATGATAAACGGCGATTAAAGATACCATTTAGACTAACTGAAGACAACTGTACTGTCCGCTAACTGAAACACATTTGTAAGCAATTTTTTTTATAACAGAATTTTACACCGATAATCTTTGTAAGATGTACAGAATTGAAAAAAAAGTACAAGTCATTAACGTACAGGAGATGTTGAGGATAAATCAAAATTCTGTAAAATACCACTAACCTATAGCATCCATGAAAGGTTCAAAGCTTGCGTCTAATTCTCTGTCCTCCCAGGTTCCATTGAATTGAGCCATTTTGCTAAAAATTGAAAACCGTGGAAAGCCTTGGTAGGGAAAAAAGTTCAAATAAGCCCTACTTGTATTTTACTGCTATTTAATTTATAATCCGTACTACCTGAATACAGAGGCCCCGTTACTAGCTGTTCGTTAAATACCACTGTTGAGGCCGTTCTATTTACTTACTTTAGGTTCGCAACGCTTAAATTTCAGCTGAGTGCGCAGTCAATATTGAAATGTTCAGTAAATCATTATTCTGTGAAAAAAAATATAACAACTTACATGTATTTTTATTGCTTTCATTTATATTAGGCTGCTAATGGAGCTTTTAGTCTGAACTACTGGCCTGGTGTTGTAGAGTAGGATTTCCCCCATAGCCAGCTTTCCCCCCGGAATCTGTACTCTTGAGTAGGATTTTCCCCTGAGGGAAAATATCACACTAGAGCCAAATTTCCCCCTCTTTCTTTCTCTGAGTAGGATGTCCCCTTTTATCAATGCTTAAATCATATCAACAATATTTGGCGAAAAGTTTATATATAAAAATCAACTTTTTTTGGAAGTATGAGTGTTTTCGACTAAAGAATTGCCGAATTTAGTTTGAAATCTTTAAATGTAAAGTTTAAATCATTGAGTCTCAACCCAAATTTTAACTCTTTGGAAATTGTATTTTAAAAAAAAAAAAAAGAAAAAAAAAGTCACTCAAAAAATCGTAAGACTCGATGTTTCAACACCCTCTCTCGGCGCAGCGGTACGTGTTTGCGTACGAATTTCAAAATTATATCAGATGAGGTCACTTTTAGTGATTTGATAATTTGTTTGCCCTCTAAAGCCTAGTTTTTCATCTATGGATCCATCCTTTTTACAAAGATTTTGTGAGAAAAATCTAAAATTTATGTAAATAAAAGATTCAACATGCCATTTTGTGAGTATTTGCATCGAGTAGTTCTTCAAAGGGGAAAAAAGCCAAAACCATAACTACAACTCAAGAAACACTGCTTTTTCAAGCCAAAGCAAAAGTATGTCCCCTCGACGCAGCAATGTAATTTTGAATTTGAAAGCAGAGAGCAACAACTCTCTAAAAGTTTTGCAAAGTTTCAAATTTTAAGAAACCAATGACCCGTTTTTAGATCCATGGTAATACATGTAATTAAACACCAGACTTTCACATCAATATTATGTACATGTACATGAAGTTTGAAATAATTGGAGGAAAAATCCATTTAATATCAAATTCCTTTTTGTTTCTATGAATGTAGTTAAAATTTGTTCAACCAATCACACTGTACCAATATTTTTTATTTAGAAATGAGGTTTGAGCAGATGAAAAGAATAAAATTTAATACTTAAAAAAATGGCCGGACGTTTACTGAGAAAAATGAGATTTAAAATTTACATTTTTCATACTTGGTTTGTTTCAATGCAACCGGTCGCCATTTTGAAGAAGGGACACTAGTAACAATATGTTACCTCTTCACCCTCATACATAAGTATAGCCATGATATTTTATGGGGGAAATTTGGCTCTGGGGGGAAATCGAATTCTATAACTCTATAACTATTACACTTAGTAAGATTTCCCCCCGGAAAATTGAATCTGGTGTGGGGTTTCCGTAGGGAAAATCCTACTGTAAAGTCATTTTTCCGTGGGGGGGGGATCCTACTCTAGAGCCTATTTTCCGGGGGGGGGGGGGGGGATTCTACTCCAGTTTTACGGAGAGGGGATTTTAGAGGGAAAGCCTACTCTACAAGACCGGTATGTTCCCATAAAATAAGTTATGTAAAATGCTATGCTTATATTGCAAACTTTAAAAAAAATCAAATTTATTGAGCCAGCAATTGTTGAATTTTGTACAAAACTATTACATGTAGGTGTCGCATAAAATAATACAAGGCGATTACTGATGTAACGAGAGTTGTCTGTTCTTTGTGTTCTTATATTTGATGTTTAAGATCTGACTTAAACATCTTTAATTCAAGTCTTGGAATGAAATATGAAGATAAGGAACAGTATTCAAGCTTAAAGTCCATTAAAACAACACAGACTGGGAACAGAGCAAACACGGACCTCCAAAAACATCAGAGGTTGGACCAGGTGCCATGAAGGAGTGAACATCGCCTGCCGACCGGTCACACCCGCCATGTGCTCTTTGTCATAATCGGGAAAAAACGGGAAAATCCGTAGACAATTCGGTGTGTAAATAATGGCCTAACAATTAATGTGAAAAACGTAAGTCAGTATTTGACTTAATGATAGGTTGTTTTTGCTGACAAGATCATTGTACCGACCATAAAACTTGCAAAATGATGACTTCAAACGAGACTGTCGATATCCTTGTTTCATCAACTTGCTTGTCAATAACTTGAACACACTTTGTAGTGAGCGCTACTCATTTATTCAGTGCATTCATTTTGATAAGTCATCTGAGCTAAAGGTTCAACTGAGCTTTTCTGTTTAAATAATGTCTTACCTTCGTCTGTCTGTCTGCTGTGTGTCGTCCGTAAAATTTTCATATTTTCATCTTCTTCTCCAGAGCCACTGAACCAAATTCAGTCATATTTACTTTAAAAATCCTTGGGTGATTGGGATTCGAACTTTTTTTCAAATAAAGGGACATTCCTCTTTAAGATGGAAATGATTAATAAATATAAAAAAAAATTGAAGGGGTCATTTAAAAATCTTTTCAATAAGTGATCCAGTAAAGATGAACCTTATAAGAATGCTTCCTGGGATAGTGCAGATTCAAATTTATTCAAATCATTGCACCCGGAGATAAAGAAGGTCATGACAAGATTTCAACTTTTACATGAGAATAAATGGGGGAAAATTAATAAAATTTAGTCATGAACATCAGCTCAGTCTTATTACCGGGTATTATGCAAGCAACCTCAAGTAATGCAGATTCAAGGTTGTCCAAATCATGGCCCTCAGGGTAGGACGGGACCACCATAGAGAATCATATTTAACATTGGAATTTATAGGGAAACTTTTCTAGAACAACAGGGCCACAATTAGTCATGAAATAATTAGAATCCAAAAAGTTTTGTTAGAAATGTAATAAATTCGATATATAGGAATGTATCTTATCCATAATTTAAGTTCGAATCTCGTAGAAACCTATTTACTGAAATCTGGATATAATGTTCGAATTCTAATCCAACCAACTTTACTTTTGACGGTATACTTTGTTCTCAACCAGTGATCATCTTGGTCAGTGGGAGATGTTTTAAGCGATTTGCTCTCAAATGCTCAGAGGCAACTTATGACTTGCAATTTACAACATATATACATGTTTTAAGTGACCATTTAATACAGACGATCTTTTGTTTCATCGATATCTAAAATTTTACCAATTTTACGTACGGTCTTTCCAACACTATACAACCATTCCCCACGATAAATTAAAGACATGGCTTTTTGACACCATAGACAACTGCTTTTTAAATAAAAATGGAATTCTTATATTTACATACTAAGTACCTCGCCATTGATCATCTGCAAACTTATTTTGTTAAAATACAGTCTGATACTACACAAAAGTACTCCGAAATTGATATTAAAAAGATAATTGAGTTTCTAATTGACAATGTCTATGTAGTTTTTGAAGACCAAGTCTTCCAACAATCTGTTGGAATTCCCTGGGTACTAATTGTGCCCCGTTATAAGCACATCTTTTTTTCTGTTCATATGAAGCAGGCTTTATTCAAAAACTTCTAAGTTAATAGAAGGTCTCTTGCTGTGGCCCACTCGAAGCTCCTCATGTGGCTCATACATGTGTACCTCGCACACTTACCTCGGACGTGATCGGTATTTACCATTTTGCTTATACAATCATGTGATCGAATCCGAAATTCCTCCAAATATTATTCCTTTGAAATTCGGTTTACTTTATGACACGTCCATCACTAGCTTTTAAATACTACTTACAGGGGGTTAAAATCCAAACAAATACATGTATACAAGGAGGCATTAGACAAGATCGACGATTTTTTTTTCTCGGTAAACTTTATTCAATGTGAAATATGAAAAGAGTTAAAATGTAGTTCTTGTGGAGAAATGCATCGATCTGATGCATATTCCTCCACCAATCTGGTCGGAGTTTTGTACGAACTTAGCGGAGTCAACCGAGGATTGTCGAGTGACTGTGGCCTTAATTCGACATTTAGATTTATCAATTAAAAATATTTAATTCCTACGTTGATTCGATATAACGAAACCAACTCGAAATAAAAGACACCACAGAGTCCGACACATCTGTTTCACATTTGGATATTTGACTAGAGATTGAAGACATTTATGACAAATTAACAACTGAACTTTATGATAAAAGTGATGACTTCAACACTTCTATCGTCATCCTCCCTTATTTATGTAGCAATATACCATTATCACCTCACATAGAGTGTATGTCTCCCAGTTGATTCGAAACGCAAGAGTATGCTCTACATACGAACAATTTCTAATTAGAGGCAAACTATTGACAAATAAGTTGATGATTCAAGGATATCAACAGTCAACATTTTGCAAATTCTATGGTCGATACAATGACCTTGTTAGCAAATAAAATCTATCGTTAAATCAAATGTTGACTGCATGATGTTTACCAAACAAATTGTTGCTTACATTATTGTCATGCTGGATTGTCTAGGGATTCTACCGTTTACCCTATCATGACAAGTACGGAGCCCACGGCGGATGTGACCGGTCTACAGGGGATGCTTACTTATGGCATCTTATCGCAAATCAGATGTGTTCTTTATCTTCATATTTCACCTTTACAATAATTTGGTCCACAGAGTTAGGACTAAGACCACTCTTAAATTGTTATTTGAAAGCATTTCTAGATAATATTGTTTATATGTCAAGAATATCCGACAGAAATACTTGTATATTCTTGGCAATTAATTTAATTAAAGCATTGGATATAAAACAGAGAGGATCTGTCAATATCGAGACTTTTTTGAAACAAGATTAATTAAAGCACTGGATATAATCTGTCAATATCGAGACTTTTTCTGAAATAAGATTCACATGCATGTACATAATTGGTTTAAGGAGAGAAATTTGAAGAAACAGTTGCAACAAAAAATTTTTTAGACAGTGTGTGTTTTTAAGTAAATACGCCA